CATTCTCTGTTCCTGCAGGTCCTGCTTGCTAATCAATGCTCATATTTTTTTACACAATTACAAATAAAGTCATTGTATTGTATGACATGAAGTTGTGCTTCATTCGGAGTCAATAATAAATTCATTCTGCCTTCAACTGCGCAATGATTGTGGACTGCACCGACATCCATGTAGCTGCCCCCCAGTAAGATGAACCAAGCAAAGAGGGTCACCATCATGCCCAAGGACATCCAGCTGGCCCGCCGCATCCGCGGAGAGAGGGCTTAGACTGACCTGAGACCAGCACACCCAAACACAACAGCTCTTTTAAGAGCCACCTACATTTTCAAAGAGTTGCAATCCTACGTTATTATAATGATTAAACTGTTTCATGTATCACTTAGTTTACTGAACCGTGATGAATGAAAGAAATTAGTGAGGTAGTGGTTTACTGAAGTTACAAAGACATTAATATATGAGTAACAGGTCAGTGTAAACACAAGCTTCTGTCAATTATGGATCATTCAAACTATTTATATAAAAATATGTAATAAAGTTCTAAAACAAGTATTCGGTATATTCCTTGATAGCTTTTGGAGAAGGTTGTTTTTAAGTTTACTAAAATCTATCGTTTCAACTGTTTCACTTTATAAAAAGGGAACAGGTGAGTAGAGCATCATTGAGTTTCTTATTCTGTCAGTAAATTATCCAAATGAAATGTTTTTCATTATTTTAGTCAACCCTAAACAAATTGATTGTACCTTTTAATGATGACCTTACATGGTCGGCAAAGTTAAATTAACTTTATAAAATCAAATCTGTTCTGAGAAAAAACTAATAAATGTTTAAAGATAGGAACTTGCCATCCCACTGAAAAACAGTCCGTAGAGATTTAAAGGCGTAGTTGTAGTTCAGTCCAACGTTTCATTTGGATTCATTTGACAACAGTCAACTATTTTCATAAAGAATATATATATTTTTCAAAGTCAACTTTATTGTCAATCTTACTCAGTTTGAGAGATCAAAAAGACGTTTAAATAAAATTATACAATTTACAGATATGTATACAAATATATATATATCCTATATACACCATCATGTATAATGATGGTGTATGATGTAGAAGGAAGTGTGGTAGATAACAAGTAAATATAGAGTTACATACAGATCCATGTTACAGCAAAAGATGGAATAACTAAGAAGCACGCAGTATAATAATAATTACATGCAACAATTAAATAACTGCTCAGCATCTCCACCACAATCCCAATCTGCTGTGTCCTGTTTTCCTCCCCTCTGCATAACACCCCATCACACATACAAAACACAACGCAGAGTCCGAGGGTGTTAAGAGTATGTTTATTTAAATGTCCTCCTCTCTACTGGCCAACACAGGGAGCATATGCTGGGTGTAGAATTGTTCCAGGAGGAGGAGATTTCCATGCCATGCAGGGTCTTTGGGGATGGGGATGATGATCGCCTCCTTCGTGGTCCACACAACAAAGTAGCAGAGACTCCGGTCTGTGATATGCAGCTGCCCTTGGACCTGGTGCCAGTATGGGTGATTCTCCTTGAGAATATATGACCCACCCTCCTCACGGAGACAGAAGGATGGTAACTGGACTGCCTCCGCGATGGTCATGTTCCTCTGGCTGTGTGGACACTTCACCTCCAGCAGGGCAGATGGCTGCACAAGTCCATCGGGTGATGCTCCCAAAACACCCGACTCACTCACAAAGAGACCAGACTCGATTCGAACACTGTCACTTGATGCCTCCACAAAAGCCTTCACCCCTTCGGCCTCGTTTACAACCCCCCAGTTGACAGTTGGCGATGTCTCTGGCCAGTGGGTTGTATGTCTCCTCTCGCTGTTGGTAAAGTTGAGACACCGGCTGGACTACTTTGGAAGTGCCAGGCTTCCTCCACTGGCACTCAACATCTGTGGAGCTGATCTGCCACATGGCAAATATTGCCAATGCTGCAGCGTGGCTGCATTTGTACATCTCCTGTGCACAATCACAGACAGCGCTCTGCATCGCGCCATCGTCTCCCATGCAGATCTGTAAAAATAAAGTAAGTACCATTTGTTAGCATGCTATAATAGATTGAATGAGCAATAATACAAGGATGGTCCGGATCTGGGGGTGGGAGGGTTTATTTTTCGATAGTTTTGTCCTCTTGTCTGTTGTTATTGTTTGTTTTTTCTGTATTTTTTGTAATTTGTGTTGTATTGGTTGTGATTGTACATTGTATTTTTCTAAATGTGTATGAATACATTTTTAAAAAACATTTGATCAACAATAAAAAAGGATTTGGTCAGGATCTAGACTCAGTGTGTAGTTTATTAATTAATCAATGCTCTCTACATTAGGAAAACACATACCGGTGTACCAGAGGGAGTCACACACAGCTGTGCCTAGATAACCAAAATCCTTGAATCGACACAGCAAATCAACTCAAATGACACAACGACAAAAAGGAGATCACACATACAGTATAGTCGATATAAAACTGGCCGCTTCAATCTGAAGAGCAACTAAAACAAAACACGGGAGTGTACCTTGTTCTTGTGAACACTAATGTTATCCACAGCATACACAGAGACCACGAAGTTCTTAAGGAGAAAACTAGTTGTTAAAACAAAACACGTTAGTGTACCTTGTTAGCTAATGTTAGCTAGCTGACATTAACGTTACACATTGCACTCATATTACTCACCGAAACCTTGTAAAGCCGGTCCCGCTGCTCTTACAGAACCGACTAACTCCCCTTTCAGATAGGTACAGCTCTCAACGTGCCCAGACTTGTAGTGATTGTCACCTCGTAAAATACTTTTATTCTCATTCTGAAAGAATGTGGTGAAATGTGCTAACGTGACGGCCATCTTTATGTTGGTGACGCGTATTGTGCGAGACGAGAGACCTGTAGTTCACTGAGCGGTTTCACACGAAAAAATGTGTAACTTCACAGTTTTACGACACATTTTTATTTTTTTGACTTGCAAAATGTTCTTTTAAATTGACAAACATCATATGTGTCATTCGTGGCACAATTCAAACGGGATCAAAAGATAACCTTTCTCTCTCCATTGACTTCAATGTATAATTTTCCGCTTCCGGGGTCCCATGGAGGCTTTCGGAAGGGGAGGGACTTCGCCTCTCTATAACATCCCCAAGCTTCAGACACGCCCAGCTCCAAGCTTTTTTTGAAGCTGTAGTGTGGACGCTCCGTTACTGTTGCATTTAACTCTGTATTTTATTCTGTTGGTTTCCGTCAAAGTGTAAATAAACCAACCCACTGCTATAATCACACTCTCGACCTTGTTCTGACTTATGGTATTGAAATTGGGCAACTATTAGTCGAACCGCATAATCCTGCTTTATCCGACCATTTCTTAGTAACTTGTGTAGTACTGTTACTAGACTACAAAGCATTAGCATTAATCTGTTAGTGCTATAGCCAAATTTAAGGAAGAGATTCCACCAATACTTAACTCGATAGCATGTCTGCATGTAAGGGAGGAAACTTATACAAAATGTACACCACCCCAAATTGATCATGTTGTTGATAGTGCTACAGATGCGCTGCGAATACAATTAGACTCTGTTGCTCCTTTGAAAAAGAAGAAAATAAAACATAGATTAGCTCCATGGCATAATGCCGAAACCCACAAAATAAAGCAAAAGTCGAGACAACTTGAAAGGATATGGCGTTCCACTAAACTTGAAGAATCTCGTTTAATTTGGCATATTACTCTCAATGAATATAAGAAAGCACTGCGTAAAGCGAGAGCAGCCTACTACTCTTCATTAATAGATGAGAATAAGAATAAGGCAAGATTTCTTTTCAGCACTGTAGCCAGGCTGACAGAGAGCCACAGCTCGATTGAGCCTTCTATTCCCATAGCACTCAGTAGCAATGATTTGATGTGCTTTTTTAACGATAAAATTGTTACTCTTAGAAACAAAATTAATAAAGTATAGTTTTATCAACAGCTCCCGGAAATGAGGTTTAGTATGTTGCCTAAGGACACTGAGACATGTAGACTGCAGGGGCTGGGGATCAAACTTCTGACCCCCCTTTTCTCAGTGCAGTCAGCTGAGAAAATGAAAGGCCTTGTTATAGTGGGCTACTAATATTGACTCATTTATCTCTATTAATACACATAAAGCTTACATGTAATATAATATGATGCAACACAACCCTTACCCTAATTCAATTGTCTTTATTTTGTAAGTGTGGGATTCTTTTATTTCCTCACAGCCACTCAAAACATGCTTTTACACAGTTGTTATTGAGTGTTACAGTCACGTGTCTGTATCGAGACATTTTCCTGAACTTTATTCACTTTTTAAACTACAAACTCAGCTCTTCTTAAAAAATACACTGCCGAGAAATGTTGGTAAAACGAGGAAAGTGTGGAGTGCGAATAATGACTCAATACAATTAACAGTGATGCCAACTGCAACAACATTTAACATTTAAGTCCCCAACAAAAACCCAGTTTTTGGACCCGTCAACAACTTGTAATCTGGGTTTGAAGACTCAGTCGACCGTAACCAAAATCTACCAACTGGCTCCTCTTGTTAGAGAAGAAATGGTGTTTGGTATCACCTTGGAGGACATGAAAAGTGATTTATCATTGAACAGCTGAAAATGCACACATCTAAATGTAGGAAAGTGAAACCTGTTCTGTCATTAAAAGGTATCTTTTATAGTATTTAACTCTTGTCTGTTGTCTCTATGAGTTTATATTTCAGTTAACCGAGATTAGTTGATGACGTTTTACATATCTTTGTTTATGTTACATTTTACCTGCCAAGGGACTAGCGGTGTATACATTTTTGCTAACTGGCATATTCACATTTTGCATTTTTAACAGTGATTTTTTTACTCTGTGCCTAAACAAATAAACAAATAAAGAATTCAATTAATACATGTTTCTGTGTATGTCAAGGGATGAACAGTTTTCAGTCAGAGATCACAATGTATATATTATACTTGATAGAAAGAGCTGTAGATGCAGATACTTTTTTTAATCCAGGCACACAGTACATTATATTTAGGAATGCTGAACAAGAGTTTGTATAGAGTTACAAGATGTTGTGCAACGGAGGAAAAGAGACTAGAACGGACCTGACATCAAAACTTGTGCTCTCAATTGCAGAAACAAAGATGTACTGAAGATTTGGATCTAAATGGAGGAGCTGTTGAACTAATTGCTTAGTATTGCTATTAGGAATAAAAATGACTTTCCACTCCTGGAGGTGTGACATCTTTATTCAGGACGAGCCATTAATAAGACAAAGAGAAATATTTATTATTTATAAAGATCAACAGATGTGGATTTAATGTGGTTTGCTATAGCACCTCCAGCAGGCTCTCGCTCCACAGAGCCAGCACCAGACTGCACTTCTCCTCTGCTGTGGGCAGCTGCAGCTGATCCACAGTCAGCTGCTCCGCCTTCTGCAGCTGCAGCAGCGCCTGCAGGTGGGACAGGGGGAACTGCAGGCCCTGCACACACACAACACAAAAGTCACACTCATCAAGGACGGTGCATTGCCAGTACAGAACTATAGCTTAAAGGGATAGTGGAAATCCGCGAATTTTGGGTTTAACTTATGTATTTTTATTAAAAAGAAGCATATTAAACAATTTTTTTTAATTTCATCCGCCTAGTTTCATTTTATTTTCAATTTTACTGCGCCCTCTCAATGAAACGAAATACTTCGGGAATCGTCGGGAATCTTCGGGTGATGACGAGAGCTCAGGAAGACGGGCACAAACAATGGCGGACATTCAATAGCATTTGCATGTGAATAGCCGACCTTTATTATGGTGAATAGATGTGTTTTGTATGGCTGTAGTGCGACAGAAAAATTCTACGTGACACAACGACATTGGATTAACCTTGAGATGCGTTTTTATTCCGTTGAACACAACTTTTGATCACAAATCAAAAAAGGTAAGACGTAATTATTGTAATATTTTTGGAACCGGATGTGCTTTACTTTCTCTTTTCTGGCTGATAGCTCCAGGAATTCGAGGTCTTACAGTGATGACATTACATGTGTGGAATCTGTGGAGTCTCAGCTTTAAATCGTATATCTTGTTTGTGCAGTTAAGATAGTAATAAGGGCATTTCCACCGTGTGTTGTGTGTAAAAAAGCGTTAGCATTAGTTAGCATTGTTTCGCTCAATGCTAATTCAAAGGCTTGGTATTACTCTTGTGTTTTTTCTAGCTAACAATTGTTCTTATTGTCAGTTAGCGGAGTTTCTTACCTTTAAAAGGGTATGAAACATTAATAGTTTCATAAATGTTAAGAAGCCATGAGACATGTGAGAGAAAAAAAACGGTGGGAGGGGTCCACTGGGGGGGACCTTCGGCCTTAACTGGTTAACAATGATTAATATTTGTAAAGGCTACAGGTGATCTTAAGATGCGTGAGCTATGCTTAGGGACCTACCAGTCAAGATTATTTGTGCGTAGGGGTGCATCATCTGGTCCTGGTCATCCTCACCATTGCCCATGCAGTGAACCATCACCTCGGGCTCGGGCTCGAACAAATAAGGACGTAATGGTCCATCGTCTGGCTCAATATTGTCACCATCGTCGCTTACTGAACCGGATTCAGATTCAGTTCCTAAAACGACATTTTCGTAGGAAAGCCGAGAGGATGTTTCTGACTCGCTATCATCACTGGATACCTCGTACAATCCTTCTTCTTTGTCTGGTATATTTGCCCTTCCACGTTCATTCTGCATAGACGCCATGGTTTGTTATCGTATCGTCTTCCTGAGTTTTCGTCACTTCCGGTTAGGCTGAGAAACATTTAGTTTCTAAAAAACTTCGGGGAAGCTGCAATAAAGTGCTTCTAACATGCGTAAGGCAATTATTATATTTTTTTAAATCAGGTGTGATTGTTTTGGTACGTAATTATGCTTGTATATAAGTTAAAACGAAACTATTTGAGGTTCCATTTCCACTATCCCTTTAAAGACAGGGTGCTGCATCTATGAGCACACATTGATTTGATTAGAACCTTCATTATCCTAAACTGCTGGGACATTTCGCCAATACCTTTATATTTTCTACTCTTCACTTACTTGTCAGCATAGGTCGGCATTGATGTACAGATCCGACAGAAGACCTTGTTTATACTGGCATCATATTGAGAGCAGTGCAGCCAGTGACGCATCCTAAAACCAGGAAGTAAGCTGCTGGTTCCCTCGACAAAAAGCAATGGGATTTCTCCACAGGGTTTTGGAAAATAGCTGGAAATGAGGTCTGTGGAAAACAAACCTGTTTGATAAATGCACGTTTTGTTCAGCCGGATAATCTCCACATGTCTACCCTACTTTTATAATTTTCAAATCATAAATCTAATCGATAGATTACGAAAGGGTTTTAGGATGCGTCACTGCACCACTAGAAACCAACTCCATCGATCAAGCTGGCTGAAACTTTCTCTCCCTCTTCTTCTCATGCTCCCCGTCACTCTCCTTTAACTCCTCCGGTGACTTTCTTTTATTTGAAGATTGTTTTTTGCCTGGCGCTTGGCCGGTTACCGCTGGTATTAAAAACATTTTGGCGAATGGTTAGGTGGCGCGATACTCCGTAGTGAAGGAGCGCGGTCCCGCTCACGGGAGCCTGCTCGCGCTGCGCAGGAAACAGCCGCTTTTCACCCAACAACGACAACCGACTCACGGAACGCTATGTTGTAGCGTTGATAAACGAAACAATTTAACTAAATTGCTAGTCAAAATACCAATACCACAGGACATTTTTTTAAAGCAATATTTTTAGTGGCCCGAGCGGACAAGTGGAAAGTACGTTATGCTGGCCCGGGGTGTCTAAATAGTGCTTCTGGGCCAGCGGGCCATTTAATGTCGAGCCCTGCCAGTTACCGGCCGGCCCACATCGTCCGACCGGCCCACTTCAATACCGGCCCATCGGGATTCGTCCCGAAAGTCCCGATGGCCAGTCCGCCCCTGGACAACGTAGACAAACTCATCTTTTTGAAGAAAAACTTGAAAATAGAGTAAAGCTTGAGTACCTTTATTTAGGCATAATGGCCTCACACACTCACAAGTTAATTACACATGTTAGACATTACTCCTAAAGGTACAGATTTTATTTTGTTTTTATATTTATCATTGTATTTATTTTATATTTTGACATCAGGAGATGTTATACAGTTCTGTATTGCCTTATTGATTGTGATTGAAACACTTTCTTATTATTTCTTTTTAATATTTTCAAGACCTCTCTGAAGAACCAGCACCTTACCGTGGTAGAGAGGTTTGTGTGCCCTGATGAACCTGGGGGCTGTGTTGTCTGGAACCTTGTGTTCCTGGTAGGGTCTCCCATGGCAAATTGGTCTCAGGCAAGGGGCCAGACTAAGATTGGTTCAAAAGACCTCATGAAAGACGATACAAGAAGTGAGGATACCCGGCCCGGAGGAAGCCCGGGGTCCCCTTCTGGAGCCAGGCCCAGAAGGAGGACTCGTCCGCGAGCGTCTGGTGGCCGGGCTTGCCACGGAGCCCGGCCGGGCCCAGCCCGAAAAGGCAACGTGGGCAACACCTCCGCTTCTCCGCCCCGCGGGCCCACCACCTACGGGAAACAGCGATGGGGTCGGGTGCGCTGCCAGAAGGGTGGCAGTGAAAGCGGAGGGTCTCGACGGACCAGACCCGGGCGACAGAAGCTGGCTTTGGGGACGTGGAACGTCACCTCTCTGGGGGGGGAAGGAGCCGGAGCTTGTGCGGGAGGTGGAGCGTTACCAGTTGCATCTGGTTGGGCTCACCTCTACGCACAGCGTCGGCTCTGGAACCTTACTTCTGGATAGGGGTTGGACTCTATTCTTCTCCGGAGTTGCTCAAGGTGTGAGGCGCCGGGCGGGTGTGGGGATACTCACAAGTCCCCGGTTAGGTGCTTCGTTGTTGGAGTTTACCCCAGTGGACGAGAGGGTCGCCTCCCTATGCCTGCGGGTTATGGGGGGGAAAACTCTGACTGTTGTGTGTGCTTATGCACCCAACAGCAGTTCAGAGTATACGGCCTTCTTGGAGACCCTGGAAAGAGTCCTGTATGGGGCTCCTGAAGGGGACTCTTTAATCTTGCTGGGAGACTTCAACGCACATGTGGGCAATGATGGAGACACTTGGAGGGGCGTGATTGGGAGGAACGGCCCCCCTGATCTGAACCGGAGTGGTGCTTTGTTACTGGACTTCTGTGCTAGTCATGGATTGGCCATAACAAACACCATGTTCGAACATAAGGATGCTCATAAGTGTACGTGGTACCAGAGCACCCTAGGCAGAAGGTCCATGATCGATTTCGTTATCGTATCATCGGACCTGAGGCCGTATGTTTTGGACACTCGGGTAAAGAGAGGGGCGGAGTTGTCAACTGATCACCATCTGGTGGTGAGTTGGGTCGAGTGGCGGGGGAAGCCTCTGGATAGACCTGGTAAGCCCAAACGTGTAGTTCGGGTGAACTGGGAACGTCTGGAGGAGGCCCAAGTTCAGGAGGCCTTCAACTCACACCTCCGGCTGAGCTTTTCGGGCATTCCTGTGGAGGTTGGGGACATTGAACCAGAGTGGTCGGTGTTCAAAGCCTCTATTGCCGAAGCCGCGGCGGGGAGCTGTGGTCTCAAGGTCCTAGGTGCCTCAAGGGGCGGTAACCCTCGAACCTCCTGGTGGACACCGGTGGTCAGGGAAGCCGTCTGACTGAAGAAGGAGGCCTTCAGGGATTTGTTATCCCGGGGGACTCCCGAAGCAGTTGCAAGGTACCGACAGGCCCGAAGGGCAGCAGCCTCATCCGTGGCCGAGGCAAAGCAGCGGGTGTGGGAGAAGTTCGGAGAAGACATGGAGAAGGACTTTCGGGCGGCACCAAAGTTGTTCTGGAAAACTGTCCGACACCTCAGGAGGGGGAAGCAGGGAACCATCCAAGCTGTGTACAGTAAAGATGGGACGTTGTTGACCTCAACTGATGGAGTGTTAGGGCGTTGGAAGGAACACTTTGAGGAACTCCTGAACCCGACAACTCCGCCCTCTATGTTAGAGGCAGAGCTGGAGTATGACGGGGGATCAAAACCAATCTCCCGGGGGGAGGTCACTGAGGTCGTCAAACAACTCCACAGTGGCAAAGCCCCGGGGGTGGATGAGATCCGCCCGGAAATGCTGAAGGCTCTGGGTGTTGAGGGACTGTCATGGTTGACACGTCTCATCAACGTTGCGTGGAAGTCGGAAACAGTACCGAAGGAGTGGCAGACCGGGGTGGTGGTTCCCCTTTTTAAAAAGGGGGATCAGAGGGTGTGTGCCAATTACAGAGGCATCACACTACTCAGCCTCCCCGGGAAAGTTTACTCTAAGGTACTCGAAAGGAGGGTCAGGCCGATTGTCGAACCTCAGATTGAGGAGGAACAATGCGGATTCCGTCCTGGTCGTGGAACGACGGATCAGCTTTTTACTCTCGCAAGGATCCTGGAGGGGGCCTGGGAGTACGCTTATCCGGTCTACATGTGTTTTGTAGACTTGGAGAAGGCGTATGACCGAGTTCCCAGGGAGTTACTGTGGGAGGTGCTGCGGGAGTATGGGGTGAGGGGGTCTCTACTCATGGCCATCCAATTTCTGTACTCCCAAAGCGAGAGCTGTGTCCGGGTCCTCGGCAGTAAGTCGGACCCATTTCCGGTGAGGGTTGGCCTCCGCCAGGGCTGCGCTTTGTCACCAATCCTGTTTGTAATATACATGGATCGGATTTCGAGGCGTAGTCATGGGGGAGGGGGTCTGCAGTTCGGTGGACTAAGGATTGCACCACTGCTTTTTGCAGATGATGTGGTTCTAATGGCTTCATCGGTCTGCGACCTTCAGCACTCACTGAATCGGTTCGCAACCGAGTGTGAAGCGGCTGGGATGAGGATCAGCACCTCCAAATTTGAGGCCATGGTTCTCAGCAGGAAACCGATGGACTGTCCACTCCATGTAGGGAATGAGTCCTTACCCCAAGTGAAGGAGTTCAAGTATCTCGGGGTCTTGTTCTCGAGTAAGGGAACAATGGAGCGTGAGATGGGCCGGAGAATCGGAGCAGCGGGAGCGGTACTGTAGTCGCTTTACCGCACCGTTGTGACGAAAAGGGAGCTGAGCCAGAAGGCAAAGCTATCTGTCTACCGGGCCATTTTCATTCCTACCCTCACCTATGGTCATAAAGGATGGGTCATGACCGAAAGAACGAGATCGCGGATACAAGCGGCCGAGATGGGTTTTCTCCGCAGGGTGGCTGGTGTCTCCCTTAGGGATAAGGTGAGAAGTTCGGTCATCAGGGAGGGACTCGGAGTTGAGCCGCTCCTCCTTCGCGTCGAAAGGAGCCAGTTGAGGTGGTTCGGGCACCTAGTTAGGATGCCACCTGGGCGAGGCTAGGGAGGTGTTCCAGGCACGTCCAGCTGGGAAGAGACCAAGGGGTAGACCTAGGACCAGGTGTAGGGATTATATCTCTTCGCTGGCCTGGGAGCGCCTTGGGATCCCCCAGTCAGAGCTGGTTGATGTCGCCAGGGAAAAGAAAGTTTGGGGCTCTCTGCTGGAACTGCTACCCCCGCGACCCGACCACGGATAAGCGGGAGAAGATGGATGGATGGATGGATTTTCAAGACATTCTTTTTAGTTGTACAGCTTATTTAACCTTTTTGTTTGACATCAGCCATTATAAATAATATGGCCATCTGAGTGTGTGTTAGGGCTGTGCAATTAATCGTATTTTAATCGCGATTACGATTATGGCTTGCGATGATTATGAAAACAGCATAATTGACAAAATACGATTATTTAACTGGGTGCGCTTTGCCCCACCCTAAAAGCCCACTCGGCCACGTGGGAGTGACATGTGTTGTGAGTGTTCAGCGCAAGCGAAGATGTCAGAACAAGAGCAGCAACTCGTTAAAAAGAAGGGTACAACTATTTCCACTATTTGGAAGTGGCTTTCAGGAGTCCGACGTGGAGCAAAACAAAGTACAGTGCAGGATTTGTTACCAGGTTGTGTTGGCACCACACGCTAACACAACCAATCTCTTTAATCATCTGAAATACAACCACAAAGTGCAATACGACCGGGCAATAATACAACAAAAAGCAGACCAAAAAGCAGATGCCGCTCGACTTCATCCACCACATCATCACAGTCATCGATTCAGGACGCATTGTACAGAGCAACGGCCTACGCGACGAGCTCGCAGAGACACAGAGATATTACAGGTGCCATTACATTTCACATCGCTAAAGATATGTGCCCAGTTAGCACTGTTAGCAACCAGGGCTTTAAGCAACTTGTCAACACGTTGGACAAGCGTTACGCGATGCCATCTCGGTATTATTTCAGCAGGTATTATGTGACAAATGCCGTGGGGAAGTTGAGAGAGATGTGGCTTCAGCTGACTACTTTGCCACCACAACGGACCTATGGTCTAGCCCAGGGGTGCCCAACCAGTCGATCGCGAGATGTGTCTAAAAATAGAACAACAATATTCTGTTTTATCGTTAATGTCCTGTAACATAATCTTCCTGTGCCAGAATAATGCACTTTAACGCATCAAAGCTTTGTGATTGGCCGGCGTCACCCCTGTGTCGGGGCGTGGCTGAGGGTCTTCAGTACAGGTGGCAATATTGTCACCTGCCTGCGCTCATCTCTGAAACCAGACCATGTAAACAGCCTGGTGTTTCTTGCAAAAAATCTTTAAGAGATGACATGAGCAGCCCTACCAGCATTTGCCATGGTGGCCTAGACATTTTTATTTGGTCTTAAATTGTAGTTCAACATTTATTTCCTGTTACTTTTGGACCATGACGGTTGGCCAGCCTTCAACGTTGAACTGAGTGGAATATGTTGAATATGTTTTACCAAAATGTTGGCTATATGTTAAAGAGTTTTCAGTAGGTTGTGACAGTGCACTGCAACATGTTTGAATTCATTTATTTTGGTCTAATTTATTTTTATTTATCATATTAATAATTTATGTTTAGTATGGTTTTGGAAGTGTGCTCCAACATATTTGTTGATCTTGTTTATTGGTAAAATATTATTTGTTTTAAAGTTCAATAAATGGTCAATGAATAATCGTCAAAATAATCGTGATATCAATTATTGACCCAAATAATCGTGTTTATGATTTTTGCCATAATCGCACAGCCCTAGTGTGTGTGTTACTGTTTGTGGTTTGTTTTTAACTGTGTAATACAGTTAATGATTCCAAATGTTAGAGTTCCTTATTTTCATACCAAAACTTGCACTACTGTTAAAAATAAATAACAGCAAAAAAAATTATGCATTTGGGACTTTTTTTTTCTTTTCCTTGTTGTACCGAACCCGTACCGAACCATGACACCCAAACCGAGGTATGAACCGAACCGTGACTTCTGTGAACCGTTACACCCCTAAAATATATACAAAGAAAAATATATATATGCATACATACATACCTTTCTAAATACACTGAAAGGTGTTTTTGTTTTTACATAATATTAGCCTGTATCTAAGATAAGAGTAACCTTAGCAACAGGGATGCAGTCAAAGCGAACATTTAACTACAACAGTGAGTGGCATAAACATTTATTTTAACACTTTTGGAGAGAAAGACTTCCATCACAAGATTGCAACGGTAAAAGAGAAGCTGCAAGAAGTGATCAGTCCCTCTGAAATGTTGTATCACATGAGAAGTACAGAGAGCATGCAGCTATCCTTTAAAGAAGTGAAGGACAGAACAGCTGAGTCACAGCTTACCCTGGAAATGTCCTCTTCCTCTTCTTCATCACCACTTTCACCCATCATGTGGTTCTCCCTCTGGTTCTTCAAAGAATGTAAGACAAAGACTACCATCTCTGAGGCCTCATCCTGAAACACACACACACACACACACACCTGAGCATGTCACTGAATCCAATCTGTTGTTATCAGGATGTCAGACTGCTGGTGGACTTACCGTTCTCTCCTGGCTGGGCTCCACTGTTATCACCATGTGGTCTTTGTGCATCAGACATACTGTATCCTCCAGGGCAGGAATCCTTCCAGCTGACACACACACACACACACACACACACACACACACACACACACACACACACACACACACACACACACACACACACACACACACACACACACACACACACACACACACACACACACACACACACACACACACACACACACACACACACACACACACACACACACACACACACACACACACACACACACACATTAACAAAACAGCAATTCTATAAAAGCGCACACAGTATACAGTCCACTGTCTATTACAGCTGTCAAATGAATTACTTCATTGCAATTAATTAATGATTTACAAAATAACACTTTAAAATGTAATGCAAATAATCGCATAACACATCAGGTAATGTTTATTTTATTAAATCAATTGACCTATGTTAGTGTTCCCTGGTATACTCCTAAAATCCATCAAATGTAATCTCGAACTGCCAGCTTAAAGGGGCCCTATTCTGCTCATTTTCAGGTTCATTAGTGCCTCTACTGGGACATGTCTCCATGCTTTAATGTTCAAAAAGCTCTTTATTCTTCTCATACTGCCTGTGCTGCAGCACCTCTTTTCACCCTCTGTCTGAAACCAGAGCCCAGTCTGCTCTGATTGGTTAGCTGGCTGGCTTTGTTGTAATTGGTTAACTGCTCAGAGGTCCCGCCCCTTAGCCTATTATGCACAATGTGTTTGAGCGCTAGCCAATAGAAGCCTGATTTGTACATACTGATGTCACAGAAGTAAACAAAGCAAAACCATTTTTTTGTATGTTTAATACTTGTGTATGCATGCTTTAGGTAACATTAAGCTGTCTTTGGCTCTTTTCTACGGTGGCCCTGAAGTGCAAGACACCACAGCATTTCAGAAAACACTACAGCATTTCAGAAAACACTACAGCATTTCAGAAAACGCCGCAGTATTTCAGAAAACGCCACAGCATTTCAGAAAACGCCACAGCATTTCAGAAAACGCCACAGCATTTCAGAAAACGCCAGAGCATTTCACAAAACACCACAGCATTTCACATTGTACGGAAAGGGTATTCCTTTAGGTAGAACACTTATTGTTTGTGATTGGACAGAGCCAGCAAGAGAAGCACTGCTGTGATTGGTTGTTTTTGCTGCCAGTCAAGAAATGACACTTCGTGATTGGCTCAACACTCAGAGCTCACAGCTCCTCATATCTGTTCAGAAACTGGACAAAAGTTAAACATATACAAAACACAGACTGTCTATGTCATGGTGAATACAGTCACTGCTTTATTTATCTCTGTATGACGTTGTTGTGAGTGTGGACGGAGCAGCTACAGGTTAGTTTAGCCTGGTCGATCCGATTTCGATAGGATTTACATGGAGATACGGCCCGCCCCCTCTCCAGCGTCTTGTTTGAATGACAGGAGTAAACACAGAATTAATGCTTTATTCATTCATGGTTTTTAAGGGGCTTATCTCCATGTAAATACTATGGTAGACTACCCAATATTCGTATCGCTCTAATCGCTCGAGTTTCACCGCGGCTGTCAGCTGTGTTTGCTCCTGTCATTCAAACAAGACTCGCTGGAGAGGGGGCGGGGCGTATCTCCATGTAAATCCTATGGGAGATACCAACTACAACAAAATGAACATATTTGACCGTAATTTAATTGCAATACACGTTTCAAAGTGATGCCGAAGCAACTACATACTGATAACGGTTAGTAAAAACCATGAATTAACGCTTTGACAAGTCTGCAAACAAGACGGCAGGCGAAAAGCTTTTAAAATGCGTGTTTTCTGAATGGAATCGGACCCATCAGGCTAAACTAACGTGTTGCTGCTCCGTCCACACTCACAACAACGTCATACAGACATAAATAAAGCAGCGACTGTATTCGCCATGACATAGACAGTCTGTGGTTTGTACATGTTTAACTTGTGTCCAGTTTCTGAACAGATATGAGGAGCTGTGAGCTCTGAGTGTGTGCTAACGGCTGATGTGTTGGGATGTATTAGAACGAAATCTAAAATGAAAATTGTAAATAAGCAATCTGTATGTAAAAAACCACATGTATGTAAATTGTAAATAAGCCATCTGTATGTCAAATATGTCTTTTATGTCTTAAATGATATGATGAATTGGAAATGGGGGACCCTGATGTAAACAAGACGAAAGTCTTTCTCTGGTCTGCATCCCCTTAACAATTGTATGTTTTGAGCTGTACTGTACTGTACCCAATATACAAGCTGTTAATACACTTTTCAATCAATCAATCAAAACCGTTGGGACATATTTCGCTGTCGGGTGCTGACCAATCACGAAGCGTCATTTCTTGACTGGCAGCAAAAACAACCAATCACAGCAGTGCTTCTCTGGCTGGCTCTGTCCAATCACAAACAAGAAGTGTTCTCCCTAAAGGAATACCCTTTCCGTCCAATGTGAAATGCTGTGGCGTTTTCTGAAATGCTGTGGCGTTTTCTGAAATGCTGTTGTGTTTTGTGAAATGCTGTTGTGTTTTGTGAAATGCTGTGGTGTTTTGTGAAATGCTGTGGTGTTTTGTGAAATGCTGTGGTGTTTTCTGAAATGCTGTTGTGTTTTGTGAAATGCTGTTGTGTTTTCTGAAATGCTGTGGTGTTTTCTGAAATGCTGTGGTGTTTTCTGAAATGCTGTGGTGTTTTCTGAAATGCTGTTGTGTTTTCTGAAATGCTGTTGTGTTTTCTGAAATGCTGTTGTGTTTTCTGAAATGCTGTGGTGTTTTGTGAAATGCTGTGGCGTTTTCTGAAATGCTGTGGTGTTTTCTGAAATGCTGTTGTGTTTTCTGAAATGCTGTTGTGTTTTGTGAAATGCTGTGGCGTTTTCTGAAATGCTGTGGTGTTTTCTGAAATGCTGTTGTGTTTTGTGAAATGCTGTGGCGTTTTCTGAAATGCTGTGGTGTTTTGTGAAATGCTGTGGTGTATTGTGAAATGCTGTGGTGTTTTGTGAAATGCTGTGGTGTTTTGTGAAATGCTGTGGTGTATTGTGAAATGCTGTGGTGTTTTCTGAAATGCTGTGGTGTTTTGTGAAATGCTGTGGTGTTTTGTGAAATGCTGTGGTGTTTTCTGAAATACTGTGGTGTTTTGTGAAATGCTGTGGTGTTTTGTGAAATGCTGTGGTGTTTTGTGAAATGCTGTGGTGTTTTGTGAAATGCTGTGGTGTATTGTGAAATGCTGTGGTGTATTGTGAAATGCTGTGGTGTTTTGTGAAATGCTGTGGTGTTTTGTGAAATGCTGTGGTGTTTTGTGAAATGCTGTGGTGTTTTGTGAAATGCTGTGGTGTTTTCTGAAATGCTGTGGTGTTTTGTGAAATGCTGTGGTGTTTTCTGAAATGCTGTGGTGTTTTGTGAAATGCTGTGGTGTTTTCTGAAATGCTGTGGTGTTTTCTGAAATGCTGTGGTGTTTTCTGAAATGCTGTTGTGTTTTCTGAAATGCTGTTGTGTTTTGTGAAATGCTGTGGTGTTTTGTGAAATGCTGTGGTGTTTTCTGAAATGCTGTGGCGTTTTGTGAAATGCTGTGGTGTTTTCTGAAATGCTGTGGTGTCTTGCACTTCAGGGCCACCGTACTTTTCTGCTGTAACAATGTAAATGTTCCCTCTGTGGGACTAATAAAGGTATTCTGATTCTGATTCTGAAAGGAGTCCAAGGGAGGCGTTTCAGGCAGAGAGGGGGTGGGGGGAGTGGAAGAGAAACTGCATTAGGAAGGACATTTGGGATTTTAGCCTTTGCAGACCATTCACATGCAGGAAGAGGGAAAACCCCAAAAAGCATAATAGGGCCTCTTTAAGGGCTGTCCAAGAACACTGCTTAAAGTTTGTAATAAAGTTATCTTCTAAATTGTCAATGTTAAGTGTCTTTTAATTATTGTGAATTATAAATATTATAATAACTGTATGTTGCTGCATGTTAAACCATTAACTTAATTCATTTAATAATTGATTTGATTCAGTGTATGATGTAATTAATCTCATACATTTCTAGAATAAATCCATTGACAACACTAGATTGAACATGAGCTCACATGGTGTCAGCAGGTCCTCCTGGCTGTGGGGGGGCAGTCTGTTGGTGATGAAGTCTCTCTTCATGTGGGTGGAGCGGACCTCCTGCTTCCCCGTTTCTATTTCCTCAGCCAGAGATCTGAGCAGAGAGGCCATCTGCCTGCTGGTGTCCTGTCCTGCCCCATCACCCTGCAGACAGAAGATATCAATACATCTTCATATGTTGTAGTTTTAGACAGGTCTATCACCATTAAAAGCCATGAAAATGGCTGATGTTTGCAAAGAAGGCACTATTTCATGACGACACGACTCCCCCAATCACAACACGTTGCCTTGATTTGCATACCAAGTGTAAGAGAATATTTTCATCTGATCTGTTTATAGAGTTTCTTATTGTTTTATAGAATCTGTGATACTGCAAACATCTGCTTGTAGTCAGTCAGAGACTCCTCTATAGGTTGAGGTCACAGGTCAAACGCTTCTCCTATGTCCGTGGGGGGTTGACCTGGCAGCATCTCTTTGAGACAAGCAGACCATTGTCTCGCATCGGCTATTGATTATACGCGGGCTTTCTGGGAGCCCGCCTCTCCTCGTGTTGGTTAGATGTTTTGGGTCTTTTGGGGCAGAGATTACCTTGGTGGAGCACAAGGACAGTGTGAAACTAGGATGATCTCCCGGCCGTATGTAATTGTCTGTCTCTCAATAAATATCAGTGTATTGACAGGCGAATCCAGTTTCCCTCATTTGATGATGCGCTCAACATTGCTGCAAAGAAGTTTTTACTTCACAATTGGCGTCACGAACAGTTACCAACAAATCGTCGAGCTGGTGAGTGTAATTTCAAATCTATATGTTGACATTGCCTCGCCAGACTCTGTGATTGACGGTATAAAATTACCTGTGGAACAGATAGATGCAATATTTTTGGTTTCCTCTGTGTGTGTGCACGGCAAATATTCGGAGAGACCTTAAAGAGGGCATCAGTAATGTGGAACTTCGGTTTAAAAGCAATGTAAAGATTTGTACTGAAACGAATCGCCGAATTCTGGAGATTTCAACGGTTTAACTAGTTAAATCAACTCGCCTCGAAATGTTCCTGTTGCTGCTGCGGGTGCAGGGTGTGGGTAATTCCCCTCCCCCCCCCCCTGTGGGGAGCAGCACACACGGGGATAAACAAAGCACAGTGTCGTATCTTCTTAAATCGCACCATTATGAGTTTTGGAACTAAACAGAACTCTTATTAACGGGAAACGTGATACGAAATATTACGTCACGCTGTGTTTCATAAACTGAGGGGTTGTTGAATTTGGCTGTTGTTAAAATAAAGGGTACTGAATTCATTAAAAGTCTCTGCTCTCCGGATCGGGGAGGGCAGAGCACCACTAAATTAGCATAGTGGTTGTTGATTGAGAATAATGTGGTTATTACTCTTCAGCAGATTCCGTTCTTAGAATTAATTTAATTAATTAATATCTCCGCTCTCGGTCGGTTGAGCAGTTTTACCACTACATTTGCATAGTGGTTTTGATTGAGAATAAGGTAGTTTATTGCTCATCAACTGAATTAATGTTTAACAACACAGACTTGTATTTTCTGTTAATCACACCATAAGCTCAAGAACTAAATTGAGCTATTAAATGGGAAGGGTGGTGGCAGAATATTACATTCACACTGTGTTTAATAAACGTACGGATTATTGAATTGGATTTTGTTTAAAAAAAATTAAAAATTAAAATAATTTAAAAAAAACAATAAGTAAAAATAAGTACTGATATAGTAAATTGAAAAATAAATGATTATTTTTGTGTAGTTGTATATTGAAAAAAAATAACGTATGGTTGTCACAAAATCCCACGGCACACCCGGACTTGCCTCACGGCACACCGTTTGGTAACGGTGGTAACTCAGATGCTTACATGGACTTGTATGTTTTTTCCTTCATATCTAACAGAAATAAGAGAGAAAGAGATGGGAAAGTGAGTAAAGAGGGATAGGAAGGAGGAGAGATATTTGCGAGTTGCATACTCACTCTGAGTTTTCTCGATTAATAGCTTATATAGACAATACCATGCTTAAATAGACTCCTAAGTTATTATTTCATATGTGACAATATGTAAGAAAAGAGGGGAAGAGTCAAATTATATTGAGAAATTGAGCAATTGATTTCATATTGGAACATTCATTTCTCAAACCTATGTTTTATGGAAGAGGAAATGTACTTCTGATAAACTAATCCTTCATCAAACGGTAAATGGTGAATTAATATAACATTTATAATCATTGAGAAAGGGTTATTCCACAGGGACTAGCTCACATTTAACTTAAAATAACATTTATCTGCTTTGGACTGATGAGTATATGATTCTTGCATGTTAAATGACTAACACAAACCTTACATTTATAATGTGCATGTCTCAGGAAGGCTCCCAAATCATTCTGAGGGGGCCTATCCTATTTTTGTAATTGAATGATAATGTGCTAATCCATTACCTTGAGTTGTCTGCACTCAGGAAAACATCCCTATCAAGTGTTAACCCAATAACTAGGACAGCTCTGAAGGCCAAGGGTCAGAGAGAGAGGATCACACTCTGCGGCTGCAGAGAGCAACTTATCCACGGGCAAGGAGGTCGTTCGAGATGAGAGGATTCTAATCTTCAACTTTCTGATGAGATGGGATGCTTCTTCATTTTCGCTCGCAGGACGAGCGATGGCTTCAGAGGCTTCATACAAGGTTTCCATGTTTCATTGGAGGAGCAGATGTTTTCATAACCTCTCCCATCACGGGGGGGGCATCTGGATGTGCCACTTGGAATAGGCAGGTGCACTGCTCTCAAGCAGATAGCAGAAGGAATACAGGCAGATGAGCCTCTGTTTCACTGGGAGATCATAAAGTGCTCACTGATTTGAGCCACAAAAGCAGAGCAATTGGGGGGGATTGAGATATGGCGCTCTGATGAAGAAGAGTTTTGAGCCAATCAGCACCTCAGTGCTAATCTACAGATGATTGAGATATGGCGCTCTGATGAAGAAGAGTTTTGAGCCAATCAGCACCTCAGTGCTAATCTACAGTATCAGGATGCCTTTACACACCAGACATTCTGTGTCATAAAGAGAGGAGGAAAACATGTCTTCTAGCTCTCGTACAAAGATAACATTTGAATTGAATGACCAGATGATTACAGATATACAATTAATGATTGTTTTTGTATTCCCAATGAACAGATATGTGTTAAATAGTGGTGATAAATATATTTTATCAGATTACACTTTCACACTAAACTAATTAATTGATATTTTCAGATTTATAAGGTATTGAACAATAAGATATTTCTAATATTATAACAGACAATGTTACTATCCTTAATCATTACCAGGTAAAACAGATGTTTTGATATTGATTACAGTTGATGCTCTGAATAAAGAACAGATGTTTTGATTTTTCTTTTTCAGGTTGTTATACAATAAAATGTCTGATTCTTCCTTTTCAGATTGTTAAACATTTTGAGAATTGTTTAGTTTTCCCTTCAGATTTTGAAATGACATAATGATTGATAGTTGAAGTAATGTAATTAATTAAATATCATGCCTTACTCTTGAATAAAGCGTAATGAAGTAAACGTAAAGTAATGTTAAAGATTGAGGACACTGTAACTTTACAGATTACAGATTGATCGATTCATCACTGTGAATTTATACCTTAACTAGGAACCTTAGCTGGATCTCTCATGATTCTGATTTTATACCTCAATTGGATTTATTATAAATCCTAAATTCTAATTGTGTTTTAATAAGTAATTGCCTTGAAGTAAATCTTTGAGATGTAAGATGATTTAGAATTTGTGTTTGATGAATGAGATTAACTGAGTGATAAATGATAAAATATCTTATTTTTGAAACATATATTTTGCTATAATATTGTTGTATTTCATGTGTTTATTATTGTGCCTTTTGACAAAAGATGCCAAGCACTGAAGAGAGATGATTTTTATTATGATTGACTGTGTTCAATCAGGGTGATTGAAATGTTTTTCAATCTTGTTCTATTTTTAATGTAATGAATGTATCTGAGCCCACCCAACTCTGAGGACGCCTATTGATTTTAAGTATTGACTGAAATATTCTTAGACTAATGTTAATTGGTTATCAATAGATTGATAAAAAGAGTGAATCTGTAAGAGAATATTTTCATCTGATCTGTTTATAGAGTTTCTTATTGTTTTATAGAATCTGTGATACTGCAAACATCTGCTTGTAGTCAGTCAGAGACTCCTCTATAGGTTGAGGTCACAGGTCAAACGCTTCTCCTATGTCCGTGGGGGGTTGACCTGGCAGCATCTCTTTGAGACAAGCAGACCATTGTCTCGCATCGGCTATTGATTATACGCGGGCTTTCTGGGAGCCCGCCTCTCCTCGTGTTGGTTAGATGTTTTGGGTCTTTTGGGGCAGAGATTACCTTGGTGGAGCACAAGGACAGTGTGAAACTAGGATGATCTCCCGGCCGTATGTAATTGTCTGTCTCTCAATAAATATCAGTGTATTGACAGGCGAATCCAGTTTCCCTCATTTGATGATGCGCTCAACATTGCTGCAAAGAAGTTTTTACTTCACACCAAGCTGCTCCGATCCTACGGCTATAACTCCATGAGAGAGGGCTTGTTAGAGCCAGGATATCAACACACAGGGGAAGGCCCAACAAATGGACAGGCGTCCCACTATAAAATCATTGGGACTGTTATTTACGAATGTATCATTGTATTTGTGTTGGCATGATAACACAGATAGTAAAAATACAAGCACCGCCTATCAGAACTAGGGGTGCAACAACTAATCGACTTAATCGATTAAAATCGATTACCAAATTAGTTGCCAACTAATTCAGTCGTCGATTCGTTGGTGACGTCATCACGTGTGTTTTACGCGCCGTTAAGCTCCAACGTTATTGGTGTTTTTATCGGTACCGGAGACATTTAAAAAATACATGTCATGTATTATTGCTACATAAGCATTATATCGCAGTCTTAGTGTCGCCAACTCGTTTCTAATATGCAAAAAGACAAAAAAATGCGTCTATGATGTATTTTCGATCTTTCCAATCGAGAAGAGAGATCTTTCTCTCCCCGTCTGTGCGAGGGGGCGGGGCAGTTTACACACACGCAGCTGCTACATGCAGCAACACACTGCGGAGATGGCTGAGAGAACGTGCTCCGAGGTGTGGTTACATTTTACCCGTCTTGATGTGGAAAATGCTCGTTGCCAAAAGTGCAATAAGAGTTTAGCATGTAAGGGCGGTAACACGAGCAGTTTGTCTAAACATTTAGCAAAAGTGCTCCACATTCACACGGAGGAATGCACCGTTTTCTAGTAGCTCTGTAGCCCCATCCACGAGTAACGTTTCCACGTCAGGTGTTATGTATGCTAGCAGCAACACACGGAGTTAACTACATTATACAAACATGGGTTAATGATTAGAGGTAACTGAGGTATTTATTTAGTAAAAGTTTCAGCTATTCTGTTTACAGTTCTGTCATCACATTATTTAATACGATTTGTTAAAACATTGTTGTTTCTTTTGATGTGAAATATTATTTATTTAATTTAAATAAAAAGCAATGTTAGTTTTGTTCACAATTTGTTTAGTTAATTTAATAATATATGTATTTTTGAATCAAGTATTCATCTTTATTGTCTTCATTGTTAGTTTCCACATGCCTAAAACAACCTCAAGCTACATCTAAAAGTGTGGCTATATAAGAGCGTTTGAGAAATTGTGCAAGGCATACAGTAATAGTCCGAATAGTCGATTAATCGTTTCATTAATCGATAGATTAATCGATTATCAAATTAGTCGTTTGTTGCAGCCCTAATCAGAACGTTACTCTGCAGTGCCAGCAGTTGTCAGCACTCCCCTGAACACAGACCAGAGTCATTACCAGGGAATTCATTTTATTGCTGTATTCCACAAAACATCATAATGTATTCAAATAGGGCTGTCAACGCTAATGCTCGCATTTCATCTGGAAACACAAATCAATCACAACACTACATTTGTCCCGAAGTTTCTCCCGTAATACTAGTGAGGATTTTGACCATGCGAAAAGGCAAAGATGTAGTTCTACATGTTCTGCACTGAGTGGAAACTCAGTGTTACGGCACAGCTGATCCATGACAGGTGTGGAGTAAAGAGCGTGAGATAGCAGACAGGGTCTCCACTGCAGGAGCAGATAGAGCTGCAGTGTGACAGCAGCACAGATAACACACGGTGTGGAACACATCATGCAGAGGGGAGTCCCAGCAGTGACAGCGGCTTTGTCCATGCTTTAGCTAACCGCGGGAAATTGTCGGACTTAACAAGCACTTTATCAGGTGCTCAAAGATTCAAATTCGAAGATGGCGCGATGATCCCGGACTCTGCCATTGTCCCCAAAGGATTCTCTATTTTTCGCCAGAACCGGACTGTCAACTCAGGGAGAAGTAAGGGAGGAGGTGTGTGCTTTATGGTGAACAATAACTGGAGCTCGGACTGTTCTCCGCATGCAGCTCATGATCTAGTGATGTGTCGCGAACGAGCCGGCTCATCATTTTTTATGATTAGAGACGGTTGGATGCTGCTGTTTTAAACATTGCAATATATTTATTTTCACTATGTTATTTATGTATGATTATCTTTAGGCTCAGCAAAGATTTGATGTCAGCTGTTGCTGTCTTTTTTTCTATAATTAATAGTTACTGAAATAGAGCCCTGCTGTTTTGTCAGGGCTTTTTCATTAAATACAATTTTAAATGTCGATACAGTAGCCCCTTTTTTTAAATGTCTATGCTTAAGTTTTTATAGGTGTTGCTATCTGCTTTGTGTAGCGTGGTTCTACAAGCAAGGCAGTGCATTCATTGGGTGGTATCAGAGAGTTACACGGGTCTGTAAATGCAATGAAAACATTTGGCCACAGCAAATCATTTATATTAAACATGTAATTTTAACTTTTGAATACTTCAGTACAAAGGATGTATTGAATAAGTGATATATGTGTACACCAGGGTTTCCGTTAGCTGGTAATTACCGTTTTTTAGCTGGTAACATTTATTAAAACCCGGTAAATTCAAAACCTGCCGGTCAAAATGTCCGGTAAGAACTAGGGATGCTCCGATCGATCGGCCGCAGGTCATTATCGGCCGATATTCACTCTTAATAGTTTGATCGGTGCTCTCTATAAAGGCTGATCAGGAGAGCTGGATCTGATCGATATGGACATAAACGCGAGTGAAGTATAACCGGACCCGAGAGAGAGATCAGATCAGCTGCTGAGTCTGACAAAGACACACAGCTCTGGCAGCTGCTGAGTCTGACCTGAAGCCCCGCCCACTGTTTAGCGCGCTGCATGAGAAACTGACGGGCTGTCAGGAGAGAGGGAGGGAGAGGGGAAAAGAGAGGATCCGTTTCTTCCCGTGTTATTGTTCAAAGTTAATGTAAACTTTTGAATAATGTACTTCATCTACTACAAGTAGTTTCTTTGAATGTAATAATTATGTTATTTGTTGTTTGTGGAATCATTTATTGAAAAATGAATCTGAACTTTTCGATATGTAACGATTATAAACTGAAGCAATATAAAAATGAGCCCCATTAATCAGCATATCCGGTCCTAGTCCGGTAATTACCTGCTAACGGAAACTCTGCTACACAATTTGTATTGTTATTATTGAAACATGACCGGTAAGTTTCAAATTTGTCCGGTAAAATAAATGATTTCCGGACATTTGACCGGCAAGAGAAAATCCTAGCGGAAACCCTGGTGTACACATGTAAATCATGAGTCAAAACAGGGTTACATTTGACTGAATTATAAATGGTATATGTGGTCAAATGAAGAGCTGTTTGGGAGCCGAAAGAGCTCTTCTTGGTGAGCCGAGCCAAATGATCCGGCTCGCCAAAAAGAGCCGGAATTCCCATCACTATCATGATCGAATGCCGGCCTTTCTATCTGCCGAGCGTTGTGACATTGGTTGTGCTGACAGCAGTGTATGTTCTCCTGCACTCTGACAACAACACAGCGCTGGCCAAGCTGTATGGTGTTATCAACAGGATAGAAACTTCAGACGCTTAATAATTCAGAATTGATGTTATAATAAAGTAAAAAACCCTCTGAATTCACCTAGCATTTATCATGCATTTATTTACCACACCTGCAGCCCTAATTACAATAAAGAACAACAACAGGTGTGTTTTCCAGTGTTAGATCATACATAACATTATCTTTCAATCCATTTGAAATAATCTACAAGTCTTAGTTTTGAGTCCGTTAATCTGTGGCGAACTGACATTAGGTAGACCCTGTCAGCTTAATAAATGATACTTAATTGTTGTGTCACAGTAATCCAAACCATCAGTTTTACCAGTAAGAACCTTCTGGGCATGCCTCCTCTCAGGCTGACTTCCCTCTTGCTGCGGTCCGACAGCACGCTGGGAAACACGTCCAGCAGCAGATCTCCCCACGACCTGAGGAGAGGACAGCGGGGGGAGAAGAAAGGTGAGAGACAGTGTTTTCAGCCACATCAAAGAGGGAGAAATACACAGCGAGTTGTTCTTAACTGAGATGCCAAACATGTTTTATGTGCACAGGTTGACCAATTGCACATTTGTACGCTTTCCTTGTGTTTTACGTGTGTAACTACAGTAATGCGTGTTGGTTTCTAAACGCTGACAAACACACATCAACTGTGCCGACATCAGTGGTGGAATGTAAACCAAGGACATTTACTCAAGTACTGTACTTGTGTAAAACTTTGAGGTACTTAAGTATTTTCACATAACTGTAGGCTACTCAATGTTGTACTTTTACCTCCACTTCATTTATTTTACAGTATTAGTTACAGCATTATTTACTAACTTCTATTCTTATTTATCGAATTAATCAGAATATGAATAAACTAATAAGTAATGAGATAGTATTTAACATTAAACTACCCGGCAGTACATGAAGTTATTAATATGAGCTCTGACTTTACAAGCTGTATTAAATCATTAAAAGGATGTACACATGAATCATACACATTAATGAAGAGAAACAATAGTTCAATATGGATTCAACTGAAATCGGCCAACTACATAATGAGTACTCTTAAGTATATTTTGATGCTAATCCTTTTGTACTTTTACTGGATTATGATTCTGAATGTTGGACTTTTACAAGTAATACCGTATTTTAACGCTGTAGTAATACTACTTTTAGTACTACTTCCACCTCTGTTTGACCCGATGTAAAAGAGTAGGAGCGCTCATACATTCTCTGATAGGTGCTGAGGGTCAGGTGGGTGGAGTGCTCCCCCCCCGCTGGTGTGCTGGCCTGATGGATGGTTCCTCTGGGGAAGTACAGAAGATCTCCTGCCTGGGGAGGGATGAGACGACTCAGTCACACATGTGACTCTGTTTTTACAGCAACACATTATTTTGTTCATATTTTGTGTTAGAATACATATATTGTAAATATAGAAGGAACGTAACCTCTTTCAACTCATTCATTGCTGTTATATCATTGTTTTTCTTAATGTCTGTATCTATTAGCTTTTAATCGTGCTTGTGTGTCTTTGTTGTGTGTATGGGTCTGTGTTGATTTGCTTCTATTGTGCATACAGTATATGCGTTCATATGTGTGCTTATGTGCTCTTGTATGGATTATTTTGATGTCACAAAGGGAACCAAGGGACTGCAGATGAACATGTGCCTCCATGGCTAAATGTGGCACATTTACATCAAGCTCTCATGTTAATAAATGTTCACCGTACCTTTTCAAATAAGAAAATATTAGGGATGCACGATAATTATCGGCCCGATAATTATCGGTCCGATATTAGGAATTATGACGTCATCCCGATAAACCCGATACCAGTATTAATAGCCCCGATAATATACAATATATTTTTTGGGTAAAAAAAAGAAATAATACTGCGGTGTGGGTGGATTGGGATGAGGGGCGCTTGTTTTTCACTCGGCTCCTCCCGTTTTGCCAGTACTGTGGTATTAGTGGTTTAGGAAGAGGGGAGTTCTTCACAAATCCAGCGCTCCCTAACTCGTGAAGCCAGGACAGTAAACAAACATGTCGTCGGTGGTATGGGCGTTGGAGCTATGTGCAACTCAAGGCATATGCTCGAACCGGAGCTGCCTGGACGCTGCAATCATGTTGCGCACTATCCGTGCTGAGTGTGCTGACTTTTCGTACAACGTCCCACTGTCTGGCTTCCTGCATAAAGTCAAGTGCTCGGCGCAGTTGTGGCGAAATGTCGCTCCTCTGTTTTCATTTAAACAGCTCCATATCCGTTAGCGCAGCTAGCTAGCACCAGATGCTAACAACAACAATGCACGTAAGGTCTCTCTCTCTCGCTCGGGCCACACATACACACACCCTCCCGGTCCTCCAGATGGCCAGTCGGTGCCTGCCGGTGAGCGTGGAAGTGTGGTCTGCCACAAGCGGGCAGCAGGAGCGGGGCTGTCAGCATCAGCTTGTAGATGGTATTTTAAACTCGATGCGCTCTGAAACTACGGGGCGGCCGAGGAAAAAAAATACACATGCGTTAATCGCGTTAAAATAATTAGTGGCGTACATTTTTTTTTATTATCGGGTATCGGTATCGGTCTTGAGAAGCAGGAAGGTATCGGTTTCAAGAAACCAATATCGTGCATCCCTAGAAAATATAGATGTATATATCTTTACCTTCAGTGTAATTTCATGTGAGGGGCTGCCGATCCTCTCCTCTGACTCCACGCAGTACTCTGCTGCCAGAGGAACGGTGGGGTTGTAGAGGAGCCAGTTCTTCTGTCCCTCCAGCTGCAGGATGAACACCTGGACAAAGAGCAGCCCATCAGGTTGTGTAGAGGGAAATGTAGTTACTGAGACGGTGCATTCTGTTCCTATTCACACATTCAATCATATCATCAATTGCTTAGGTTAGTATAGAGCAGGGGGGCCTCACCTCCTCATCTGAAGCACTATTATGCGCTTATGCGGCGCAATTAGTGTAAGTGTGCCACAGTTTATACGCCGTTTAGTCCGCTAGCACCCTGCCCCCCCCGCCCTCTATACTTTGGGGAATAAAGTTTGCTTTTTACACAAGCTGGCTTTCTGCTGCTGAATTCAGAGTTTGTACCTCGACGTCATCATAGTGAGCTGGGAGGCCCTGGGACTCCTGAGGTGTGATGTAGACGTTTGATCCCACCAAGCCTCCGAAGAAACACTCCAGCTTCTCCTGAATCTTCCACAGCTCATCCTGACAACACACAGGAACAACAAGATGAGGGCCGCTGCTGACAGACCATCACTCAACTGTCTGATCTGACACTTCACATCTACATCTGGGATAAACCCCAAACACATCTCTAATATTCCACAAGAAGTTGCTGCTGTGGTCGTCTCAATCCATCGGAAGTGATAACAGTTGGTTGTTTCATGCAGCTTTAAGAAATGGGTTCCTTATTGATGGACTAACATTAGCAGTAGCATCATTAAAGTCTGCACACGACATAAAGCCATGCCTTCCTCTCTGCTGGAAGCTGCTCACCTTGAACCTCTGCGGCTGGTGGAACTGGATGGTGGCCTTATTCTGAGTAAAGCTCTTGTTGAGGACGCTGCTCTTAACTTTCCCCTGCTTGTTGAGATCTTTTTTCTTGCCGTTGATGCAGCGAACCACGTTGACGTCCGTGTAGTATTCGAGGTCGTGGGAACAGAGGCTCTGCAGGTCGGAGAGCTGGAACAGAGACTGGTAGTAGGAGGCTGTGGTGGGGTCAGACCTCTGCAGGTGGAGGGGCTTCTTCTCCCAGTACTCGCTGAAGAACTGCTCCGGCCCCATGGGCTGGATGAGGCTCTCAAACAGGCTGCTGGGGCTGAGGAAGCTCAGGGGGGAGTGGGGGGCGCTGTGCTCGACCCTGCTCTGTTTAGGGAGCAGCTCCTCCTCGCTGCTCCGTCTCTTCAGCGGCTTCTCTTTGCTCCTCTTTGGCATTTTAATCTGAAACACGATTCAAAGAATATCATCAGTGAGATAAGCTTACTGCCGCCACATTTTTTATTTCATTTAAACATTTTAGAAAACTGCAACCACTTGCACACTTTTTAAAATGTATATTGTATAAAATATTTAGTATTTTTTATATTCTGCCTTCTTTAGATACTCTATAGATATATGAAATTCTACTGTTGATATATACGGTAGTGATGTTACGTATTGCGCCGAGGCTTCGGAGCGTGTGTCGAGTAATCCCCGAAGCTTTTTTGTGAAGTTTGTATCGAGGCTTGTATCGTTTTGGGCCAGTGACGTCACCGATGACAAAAGAAGCCTCGCTGCCTGTCGATACCACGTGACTGCTTCAGGAAGCCATTCAGATCGGTTGAACCCTATGGTTGAACCACAACGCTCATATTACCCATGAATGTATAATAACAACCATATGACCCCTCCTGTACCCAGGCCCGGTGACACGATGGAATCAAGAGAGCTCAGACCCTCACTTATATAGAGGTCGGAACATGTCATAAGTATAAATAGATACAAGCATAAATAAATGTAGGAATAAAAACATGAATAAATATGTTGCAGTGTTTTCAGGGAGCTTCAGTGTGTGTGCTGTGGCTCAGCTGGACCCTGGTTCATTGACTGGTCAATACGTATTTTTGTTTGTTTATAAAAGCTACAGCTAAATGAGATAATGTAGTTAATAAATGTATTCTTTGATATGGTTTAGCCTTTCTCCGGCTACAACATGGTTACGTTTACAAATCCCTCTTTGCAATGTTTACCAGCCTCGTTAGGCTTTTCAATCACAATCATTCAACTGGAATAAATACAATATTGTTAACATGAAAATATGATTTTATGTTTGTTGTTTAGAGTTATTAAGGCTTTACTCATTGGGAACTGTTTTACACACTTTGACACATCTCGCCATCACTAATATTATACAGTATACATTTAGTGTTTTCATTTTACCATTTTTTATTTTATTTTTAACTCAGGTGCAACATGCTGCTCTGACAAAACAGTTTTCTAATTTTGGATTAATAAAACATAATGTAATCTAACTAGATATAGTATATAGAATAGTGACCATAATACGTGTGATTCGGAGTAAGAAAAGGAAAATAAACAAGACTTTGTACATAAATATTTTAAAAGTGCATGAAACACCTGTAAATAAAATGTGTTTTTCTTAAAGCAAGCTTTATACTATAGGCAGGACTACTGGAGCACATACACATAAGCTTGTTTCACAGTCTCACATATTTGGTAGGTCTATCTTGAATACTAACAACATTATGGCTAATAATCAAAATCCTGAATTCAGAATATGAATGACAATTAAACTTCCGGAAACCAGGGATTATGATGGTAGCCTATAGATGTTATTTAGGGCTACTTTGGACTGAAAGTAGTGTGACACTAGGCGCTTTCATGCGTTCACACCAAAAAGAGAACTTAGTTCATGAGAACTTGTCTCCTCTTTTCAGTCCCTGCTAGAGAGCAGGTTCTCTCCTGGGGAGAAAACAGTTCCAATTTCTGATTGGCTGGGCGAATTGCAAACCACGCCCCGTAAAACTCGGAAGTAAGTTAGCATTTTACCACTTCGGGTTCCTTAGACAAAAAACAATGCTATTTCACGACGCTGAAGTTGGCTTCCGATTCAGAGCCTCCGATTCGGCAGTTAAGGGAAAAGTTAAGGAACATTTCATTTACAGCGCTGAGCGAACAATCCTCCGTGTTTGTACCTCTTAAATCGCTGCATAGCCGATTTATTTGGACGAGATGATCCCAGAGAGTCTAAAGATTCTTTATAACACAGTTTGAGATTTGTGAAACCTTAATGTCCCTTAACTTTCCCCTTAACTGCCGAATCGGAGGCTCTGAATCGGAAGCTAACCTCGTCCAAAATCCCATGTTTCACGACATGGGATTTTGGAAAATAGCTCGAAATAAGGTCTGTGGTTGACACAAATTGAAGAGATAGATCACGTTTTGTTCAGCCGGATAATATCCACATGTCTACCCTACTTTTATAATTTTCTAATCATAAATCTAATCGATAGATCGTACTTGGTGTGAAAGCGGCTACTGTGATGCTTGTTACGCATTTGCCTGCACTATGTAAAAAACACTAACAATATTACAGTTGGATAACAACAATTAAAGAGTGCGGCATTATCAAGCGACACTACTCAGACCAATACGGGAACATTGTTTTCTAACGACACAAAATAAACTATAAAAGTAGGTTCCTAGCCAGACTAGAGAAAGTAATAACAGATAAACATCATGTAAGCTTTCGCTCGTCTGTCAGCTCTAATGAAGCCGAGAATGAAGGAGTTGTTGGTAATAATGTTGCGCTATAAACAAGTAAACATGTCGGACACTGTTACTCCATAAGCAGAAAGTGACAGAATAATGTGAGGTTAGTCTTTAACAACACTCACCTCTTCTGCAGCACAGTGCCCACGTGAACCGAGCTGTGTTTCATTAAATATGTCCGACTGGAAACTGCTTCCAGCTCAGGATCAGTGGGCAGTGTGACGGCAGGGGGCGCTGCTGAGAGGATGGTGGTACTATCAATAAGTGGTAATATGATGCATATACTATTACATATCATGGGCAGCCAGCTCTAGCAGGTTAGCTATCTAGGTGAGCCTTATGATGCATAAACTATATACTATGTTTAAATGTAACTTCTGGCAGTTTATTCGTTTTGCAATACACAACACCTGGAACAACAATGTTGTAACTGAGCAATATACGTTACACTAGGAAATATAGTATTTACTACTGTCATTCTGCAGCTACTTCATTACATTCTGCTTGTTTTACTTATTTGTTATAATGCTGGTACTTACCTTTTTATACTTGACATGTGTAATTATCTTAATGTATAATATGTGTGCTCACTTTACTAAACACTGTTCACTTTACTAAATACTGTTTTTATCTTTGTCTCTATCAGTAGCCTACTGTCCCTTTGCTGTAACTGTATCCCCTCTTTAGGATTAATAAAGGGATTTCTGAGGCCTTTGGTAAATATTTGTGATTCACTGTATTATTTTGTTTTCGTTTTTTGTTTTATCTTTAAAAAATATCATATAAAATATATGACTGTTTTCTGTAAAAGTAAGTTACTTTTAGCTACATTAAAAATTAAATTAATCTTCTGTCTTTTTTTCATTCTTTTTATATTTAATATTGTGTTTGTTGTTATTGTGTTCCAACCTCTGTGGGTGACATTCCTACCTTGAGATTCATTATGTTGTTTTTGTAGAGCCTATCATAAAGCCTGTAGTTATATGAGGTCTATGGCCAGGGACCGTGTGATTGGATAACTCACAATGCTTTCTACCCTCACGCTGCACGAGGGGAGTTTTATTATACCTTGTCTGTATACATTCTGTGTATTTATATTGAATAAGTTGACTAAACTAAATGTTCTTATGTTGCTGTTTTTTGCCATTTTGGTACAGGTGAAGCGAAATTCAAGATAATAAAGAACATGGTTTCTGACACAGTCACCAGAAACTGTGACTAACTGTTCCTGGATATTGAACAATAATGTTACCATTATGAGGATAACATAGTACATGGTCAGTGTAGCCAGGTATCACACTGTTTCAAATCAAATACCTTGATTTTGATGTTTGCAACAATAGGGTTCACTACGTGCTTTAGCAAAAAACAACTCATTCTACTTTGTAGTTCCTTCTGTGTAATTTGTGTAATTCTTTTTTGTATGTCCAGTTGTATTCGGGAAGAGAGTGCAGGTTAATATAAGTGTGGTTGCTGTACAAACTATTTTGTCCGGTGCCTTGCTCAAGGGCACCACGGCAGGGCAGGAGGTGAACTGGGACCTCTCCAAGTAGCAGTCCACACTCCATATTTAGGTCTGGTCGGGGACTTGAACCAGCGACCCTACGGCTCACAGCCCCTACTGACTGAGCCACTGCCGGACATATAACCTGTTAATTAAGTGCTTTGTTGAAATACACAATAATATGAATGAACTTGGAAAGCTATCAGCCAGCTATCTTTCGTGGAAAAAAGTCATTTTAGAGCCAACTTATCAATCGTTTAACATGGTTAACATTTTGCCATTCCCTGTCAAGCAAAATTCCAAACACAACTGGATATTATAAAAGAAAATACTCAATGAATGATATTCGTCTCTCTCAACAGTGACATTATGGAAATCACTGATGAGATATGTCACATGATGCATCTCTAACTCTGTTTGTCAAGACAATATGTTTGTTTACCTTTTCCCACGTTTGCCTACAGCTGATATTTGAGTTGTCTTTTGGAAGTATTACTGCTCTGCTGCTAATAATAATAATAATACATTATATTATTATTTATATAGCGCTTTTCCTAGTGCTCAAAGCGCTTTACAAGCAAGTAAAGAAGAAACAAAATAACAGCAAAAGTAAAAAGTGCTAAACTATGGTGGAATAAGGGCGAGGGGTTGGATTAGGAGTTGAAGGCAAGAATGAATCGTGAGTTTTGAAGGATTGTTTGAATGATGTGAGTGTTATCATACCATGGTGTACTTATTTATTTTTTATAAATATGTGATAATAAAATACACATCTGTATGATAACTGCATCAAAGCGATTTTGTTGCAAATTAAAGAAGCAACATTATAACATTGTCCAGTCAGTGTAAACTAAGGTAAACATGGGATTTGTGAGGAGGGACTATTTCTTCAGCAGGAAATGGTTCCAATCAAACCTGCAGAGAGAGGAGTACGGATATTTTAACTTGTTTCTATTCTCTTCATTTTTATATGTAGGATACTTCGTCTGTGTTAGCTTTGAAGTATGGGTTCAAAATTCATATACTTGACTTTAGAATCCATAGAATAATCTCACCTCAAAATCAGATATAAAACTTTTAGGGACAAAAATGTTAATCCACAATAGTGGTAATTTTCAGACTTTAATGGTGCGGCTTCTCAAACAATAATTCAATGATTATTTACTTCATTAGAGATAATAACTGTTCTTTCAGCATTAAACTCCGGGAGAATATCCCTCTTTTTGAAGATGTAATGATTTCACTTGCCCGCTAGATGGCGGTGTTTAGCTGAGTGTGCTTGACTAGTCTGGGCACCAACAGGTATTAGTGGTATAGAGAAAGGTGTCTTCTATAACAGCAGAGGACAAGGAGAATGTTTCAAATAACCAGACAGCCTACATCTCTAACACTCTTTATTCACCATCACCAAAGGAAATGTTTTATATTGTTATAAAAGAAAGGCCAGTGTGTTGGGAGTACTGACAGTGAAGTACCACACAGTTCTAGGCGAAAATCCCATAATGGTTAAGATGACAATGAACATGATACAGCAGTGTGGTTGTTGTACAATTTTCTAACAATGAACACACCGTTAAAACTCACAGCACAGCTCTGTGTTCTGCAGCATTCAACATCTGATTTGCAAAATGCACTATTCTTTCAGAAAGCTACTTTTTTGTGAGGTGCTTGAGTATTATATTTAGCCATTATTAATTATTAAAGAACTCATCTTATCCCTTTGGCAACTTAGAGGTTCAAAAAGGAAAACTATGTTCCTAATGCAAAGTGGTGATGCCTACTGTATGCATTGCATGTTAGTTTCCCCTATTCATATTGAGTCACAGTTCAACCGAGGTTTTATGGTGATATTTATTTGTATTTGTTTTATTCACCTGTAGCGTTGTTAGACATCTGTTGCAGTGAGTAAACAGCACATTCTGAAGTGCTTCCAGTTTTCATTGTGACATTTGTTCCAGTCCCTGATCTGTCAGTATACGTATGTTCGCAGTCATTTGTCATATTTGTATTGTTTTTGAATAATTATGTTTATTTGACCCTTTTTATCTTTTTATAATAGTTTCCTCATACACTTATTTTTAATAAAACGTATTTCTATAGATTTTTCTCTTACTGTGTAATGTGTGCATCAATAAACCACTGCAAATTATGTGTATGGACTACAAGAAACCTAACTCTGACTCAGTTGAAACTTAAATCTGTCACATGATCTGATGTGAAAAGGCCCGATGTAAAGTTATCCAGAGCACTCAGACCTGTTGTGGAGAAAAGGACTGGAAGCATTTGATTTGAGACCTTCAGTGGAATCAGTGTTTAAGAAGTTTCATGTTAACCCTGAGGGTACTGAGGGTACTGAGGGTCAAGTATCTGACAGATAACATGGATCAAGTTGCATTGAGTCCATTTGATTAAAGCCCCAAAGTACAGTTCACAATATCATGCTTTGTCAGGGTCTTTCTTGTCCGTCTTAATTTGTGCACGGAGATTCTTCGGGGTGTGTGAGGAGCTTCACAAACACACCAACACAAGAAGAACTCCCTCTGCACAGATGGGTTTAGGAAGCTCCTCATCATCGTCGTTGTTGTTGTTGCAAAATAGCCAGTTGTTGACTACCAGTGCAAACAAAACAATGTTATTTCTGCAGGGCTTTACTTACTTTGTGGACCACCTTGTTCTGTCTCCAGTCTTCCTCCGATCAGTCACAGTCAGGTCTTCTTCTTCTGTCATCATGGAAACGTTGGGTGTCCTGCAGTATGAGTGAGTCTCGGGCATCCACGTTGTCCTGTGGGCCTGTTGCATATAACCCTAAAGAAAAAGATTACAGGCTCTTCTGTAAACCAATAGTGAAAGTGCACAACAATTTAAGTATGAATTTGTGAAAACTCCTTGATAATAGATGTTAAAGGACATATTTTAGATGTATTAAGAAGTAAACTTGTACTATAGCCTGTATGAAAGGATGTTTGCTTTCACAAGTTGTTGAATATATTACCTTCTGTTGAATTGTAGCTGTGAAATGGGCTTTTTACCATGAATGCTGTGTAACAAATGCGCCAGCAGCCAAACATACTCTGTTTGCCTGCAATCCTGTGTGCCATGATGACATGGCACTTGTTAGGCTTCACTTTTCCCCAAACTTGTTGCTCCAAAACACACCAATCAATCAAACAGGAGACTTCTGTTGGAGTTCTAATTGTAACGTAATAATTAGATCCTCTTCAGGAGGAAGACCTGCTGATATACAGGCAGTTAACAACTTCAGGACAATGGTATACAGGGGACGTTGATGCCGCCGACATCCCATAACCAAATGAATAAAGACCCTCAATTGGAACTTACATTTCAGTGTAGCTCCATGAGTTTGTGTTGGCCTGCTAGGAGCAAATGGTAATTGTCAAAACAGACATGTGCAGACATCTCCACCAGAGGGCGCCATGACAATACAAATAAATGGTAATGTTATGTGCAAAATGGTGATTTTTGAAATATGGAGTTAAAATGAAATAAAAGAATGGTGTGGTATTAATGTTCTGTTTACAGGACTCTTAACAAGCAGTAGCTGTATACTGAATATTACTGTATACAGAGAAAACAACAATAATACCTAACTTCGAACTTCCCAATAAATAAAAATATCGAACTTTTGGCCACATAATTTAGGCGTTTGTACACCATTGGGGAAAAACTTTAGTGAACATGGTGGTGGGGTGCATTCAGTTCATTCTTCCAAATGTTTTTGTAACTATATTTAAAACAAGAAGAGAGAAGAAAGCACAAAAAGAAATGTGACATTCCACTTATCACTAACAGGACTTCTGAAAAAAACTGAACCGTTGACTTTAATTAAGTTGAAGTTCTTTAAAAAAGCACATAACTGTATTGAGTTAGTTGAAAGCAATTTGTTAATAAGTCTAAATCAAAAATATGTTCAAAATAGGTTCAACTTAATATTATTGCTTTCAACTAACTTAATCAAGGTATGTGAAATTTGTTGACGTAATACATTTAATTAATGTCAACATTTCAGTTATTTCAGTGTAGAGCATTGCTTATCTCACCTGTCTGACATTCATAATGTTCATAACCTCCATTGGCTCAACTCTGTGGTGCAGAGATACCCATCTCAGTGTCAGCAGGTCAGCAACATGAACGTTATGTGTTTTTGTACTTTTATTGTAAGGTATCAAAGTGCATAAAATAATTGTCAAACAAATATTAAGATGCAAGGGGAAGAACACAGAAGGACCCCCGACAAACATCAACATGTCTTCCTTTCATTTTGTGTGTAGTCCAGTTAAATTGAATTAAATTGAGAGGTGTTTTAATTGGTGGTTCCACTAAATTGCTCCCTCAGAATATATAGCAGGAATGTAGAGTCCTGACATCCAAAACAACAAGAAGAAACAGTTGTACTCCTCCTTATTGAGACTCAGGAGGTGTAGAAGTGTACAGTGTGTCCTGGGGAGAGTTTCCTCCACAGCTGGAGCAATGTTCATCCATCAACACTGACAGCCTGCAGAAAGTGATAGCCAGACTATTACAGCCAATGCAAATAAATGGACTGATTACTCTCTTATGAAAGCTGCCTTCAGGAGCGCGAGGAACATTTTCCCTCCGCTCCATAGGCGTGATTAACCAAGTTGTAAAGTGTAAGTTAGATATAGACAGACAGTGACTGATTGCAGAATATAATTATTAAATAAACGTTTGCATCGTCATTAATGGGGCGACAAGATATCTTTTATTCTTGCTGTACAGAATTAGGGCATTGTAGAAGCACTGGGTGAACACCAGGTTACATGCTGCAGGACCTGCTGCTGGAAATGACACACACACACACACACACACACACACACACACACACACACACACACACATACACACACACACACATACACACACACATACACACACACACACACACACACACACACACACACACACATTGATATGAATGTATTATCCCCACTACTTCCCCCACCATCCACTCCTCAGAGCCAACCACCTGGTTCAAAGCACCAGATGGGGGCCAGAGCCTTCTCCATCGCTGTCTTCATTCAAATCACAAATCAAAACTCACCTTTAGAACTGCTTTTACTCATAATGTTGTGTTTTACATATTTTAAGTGTGTTATTTTAATGTGTTTTTTAAAATTAAGTTTAGCCTGTAAAGTGTCTTGTATAACATCATCATATAATCTCTATTTGGTTGATATCCATCAGTTCTTTTTTACTTATTTCCTTGATTTTACATTAGATAATAGGCCTATTGTTAAAATGGTTGTTTAATGTGTTACTCTACCACTTTTTACAATGTGTGTGTGTGTGTGTGTGTGTGTGTGTGTGTGTGTGTGTGTGTGTGTGTGTGTGTGTGTGGTGTTTGGGTGTGTGTGTGTGGTGGTGTTTTGTGTGTTTGTGTGTGGTGGGTGTGTGTGTGTTTGTTTGTTGTGTGTGTGTGTGGTGTGTGTGTGTGTGTGTGTGTGTGTGTGTGTGTGTGTGTGTGTGTGTGACTGTGAGAGAGAGAGAGAGAGAGAGAGAGAGAGAGAGAGAGAGAGAGAGAGAGAGAGAGAGAGAGAGGTCTGAGGGTGGTTCAGTGCATCTCCTCTTGTGTCAGCGGTGTTGGCGCATTGTCCGAAGAGCCGCGGATTGATCTGGTGGATGAACACACGGTGGAGAAGTGACGGCACAGTGGACGTGGCGTTCAGCTTTCTGCACCTTGCTGTGTTAAGAGCAGGTGAGGCTGGGAACCGAGCTTTAATAACGGTTCCGACCCGTGCCCTCATCTCTCTGATGTCCGGAGTGCGCTGAGCGGCGACGCAAAGTCTCTGGATCCTGCTGAAGTTTTGTGTCTGGAGGAGCACTCTTCCCTCCGTCAGTAACACAACTGTGGCTGGTTTGTTACATGAGTTTAAACCGCTCCGCGGAGACTTACTTTTATGCAAGAATCTTTTATCTGAAACTTCCGGAGATGAAGGAAAAGTGCAAGAACGCGGCGAAGACGCGCAGAGAGAAGGAGAACGGAGAGTTCTACGAGCTGGCCAAGCTGCTGCCTCTGCCCGGAGCCATCACCTCCCAGCTGGACAAGGCCTCCATCATCCGGCTGACCAGCAGCTACCTCAAGATGCGGGCCGTGTTCCCCGACGGTAGGGACCACCGGAGGGATCGGGTTATTATTGTACTAATTATTATATCACTGTATCGGCAGGGCCCATTGGCATTCAGACACCGAAAAGAAGCAAAAACCATACAGCAATAAGATAAAACATGTTGCCCTATAATACACCCTCAATGCAGGCTATAAAGTAGTCGATTGAAATAAGTAGGCCTATCAAAAATGACGGACTTTATTGAATTAGTTGCGTTTTAATTGTGTATAGGATATAGGGCCTACACCACACTAAAATGCAAATATATAACTACATTTATGATTGTTCACTAGCCTATGTATAAAGAATATAACTTTTCATTATGGTTTATATAAGAAAAATAAATAAGGAATTCAGTTTGACTTTTATCCTCTAATATCTAAGCTTGGTGTCTCACAATTGCTTCATTAATATAAAAATGAGGAGAAAAGGTATTTATACACAATTGCTATATCAATAATTTAATTGTTTTCTAATACAGCAAAGGGATTTTAGGAGCGTGGTAAACCTGATGTTTTTCTTGTTAATAGATCCCAAAGTAAATGATTTAGTAACCATTTATATATCCAACAAGCCTTTTGTGACGGGTGCCTCATGTTATCACATTTAAATACAAGTTGAAAACGTTAAAACAAATCTCATATATAAACCCTTTGCAGACTGTTTTCACCGAGAGAGCTTGCTTAAAAAAAGGGGGAACCTTAAGAGTTTTGTCTGAGGGATTAGATACAAAGATAACATTACTTTATTTATCCGATTTATTGTTTTGTTGCTACAGAAGCATATACATACAAGGTACATACATTACAAATAAACATTATACCCTAAATGGAAACATTTGAAAAATAGAAATTAAACTGAAAAAGAGTAGAAAATATACAAGTTGACCGTGATGATGGCATATTAAATTAGATACAAATGTGCAGTATGAAGTTGTGAAGTATCAAACAAATATAAACTGGAGCTGTCAGTTCTCTGCCATGGCGAGTTGTAAAGTGTTATTGCAGTTGGCAGGACACTTTTCCTGTATCTGTCCTTGTGACTTAATTATCCATTAAATGTTTTTATTTGTAGCCCTTTTTTATTATTATTATTATTATTATGAGTCTGCTCTCCGTGTGCTCGTTCACTCCATCATAATCCGGGCTGTTCCAGCAGCTTTGGTAATGGAGGTGTCAGAGAAGTGGTGGTCTTATTTCCCCCTCTGATTAAAAGCATCGTGTCTACTTTAGCCACCTCACTCATTCATCAAGGTGAATTATTTCATTAGGCCGCAGAGAGCCGCAGTGGGGCAGGTTGGAGGGCAGGAAAACACCGCCCTTCCTCTCTGTCATCACTCATAAAGTCTGAGTGAACACACGGGCCCTGTGGCCGGGCCACCTCAGAGAGGGGCCGGCAGGAGGCCCTCCCGGGCCGCATATAGAGAGGGGCCGGCATGAGGACCTGCTCCCGGGCCGCCTATAGAGAGGGGCCTGCTGTGGGACCTGCTCCAGAGAGGGGCCGGCAGGAGGACCTGCTCCCGGGCCGCCTCAGAGAGGGGCCGGCAGGAGGACCTGTTCCCGGGCCGCCTATAGAGAGGGGCCGGCAGGAGGCCCTCCCGGGCCGCATATAGAGAGGGGCCGGCATGAGGACCTGCTCCCGGGCCGCCTATAGAGAGGGGCCTGCTGTGGGACCTGCTCCAGAGAGGGGCCGGCAGGAGGACCTGCTCCCGGGCCGCCTATAGAGAGGGGCCGGCTCTGGGACCTGCTCCAAAGAGGGGCCGGCAGGAGGCCCTGCTCCCTGGGCCGCCTCAGAGAGGGGCCGGCAGGAGGACCTGTTCCCGGGCCGCCTATCGAGATGGGCCAGCAGCGGGACCTGCTCCAGAGAGGGGCCGGAAGGAGGACCTGCTTCCGGGTCGCCGCGGAGACACCGGCCGGCTCCGTGATCCGAACGGGAGATATAGCCTATAAGGATCAGGAAGGCATGGATCCATTTGCGGTGGATTATTTTAGAGCCATGTAATCTTAATAAAGCCCCATAATGCAGAGCGCCGGGACAGGCTGTAAAACACACAGACACGCACTTCATTTAGTGCGTTGTTAGGCCTACTTTGCCATCTGTTTTAAAGAAGAAGAACATGCCCACCCAAGTGTAGCCTGCAAATATTACATAGCCATATCCTACCAGCTTCAAAAATATGTAGGCCTAGCCTATTTAATGCTTTTTCATTTGTTAATCAAGGACCATTTCCATTAAGTTGGCCATTACCAGCCAAGGGACAGCACAGCAGTATCCCAAAGCCAGGCATGTTATTTCTTAAAAAGCAGGGGATAGGCTATTTATTATTTTGTATATTTGTAACCAAGCTAGAAGCGGACCCGCCGGAGCACAGAGGCTGCCTGGAGCTGTAGGCCTACTCTGCTGCTGGGACGTGTCGGTGCTTTTGATAAACAGTGTTTCACAAATAAATACAAGAATAAATACCCCCACCCCCTGAAAAAAACGGGCAATATTCAGATAAGAAATATGGACTGAAAGGGCATTCTGTTGCTTAGTTTTGGCATATAATATAATTGTATTGTATTATTGTTTTAATTAGCCTACATTAATAAATGTTGGTTATATTTTAGACTTTTGTTATTTTGGTAAAGCTTTATTATGGTTGGACTAACATAAGGAATACACCTAACGATATACCAATTAGATGTAGAAAGCAAACATTAACATAATTTTTTTTGTTTAATTAAGGCGACATAATTAATCTAATATTTTCAAAGCTACTCAGAAATGATCGTTTGTTAAGGAAAGCATAGAAAAAAATGTTGTTTTTTTCCTTTTCTGGATAAAAAACGTTTTTCAATGTAAGGTTTCAAAAAAGTGAATTTCTTACTAAAGACCAAAAAGAAGTAATATTTAATTATGTCATAATTCCATAGACATAATTATGTAATTCTCAGATATCAAAGTATTTGCTCAAATCCTTTATTAGTACAATGTAGAGCTGTAGTAAATACTAGTTACTTTTGCAGTCAAAAACATATCAATATGTAAAACCTTAAAATATAAAATATATTTTGCGTTTTATGGTTTTACGTTTAATATACAAAAAAAAAAAACCATCAGTCAAATGAATCAGTCAGACGTCAGACCTGAACCTGACACAACTTAACAAAACGGGAACACACTTAAAGCAGTTTCATAGGTCAAAGTATAAGTAGCCTTTTGCTAATTCTATTTTTCAATGCTATTACTTTAGAATTGTTGCTAAATTGTAAATTAATAAATTGGCCATTTTCCCCAAAATAGAAAATGAATGCATGTTTAGCTTTGGTGGTGTCATATCCTTTTTCTTTGCAACCTGAAATCAGTGTCAGTATTCCAGCAGCTCTAGTATGATCTTACGATTGATGTGAAGAGAATAGTTCGTTCAACAATCTGACCTTTAGCAGAAACATTCTGTCAGGCTTTCAGAACAACCTTCTGCAGGAAATGATTCAGTAAAAACACTTTATATCCACGTCGGCTTCTAAAATATTATTATTATTTGCTTTCCTCAACTCAAAGTTGGGCAATATTAAAAAGTGTGCACATATGTGTTTATTTAGCTTTTAAATTCACCCTTTGCCTAGAAGAATGTGATGCATCATCGATTGTACAATATACTCAATCCCCCAGTTTGGAGCACTCTGACTGTTATCAGTGCTTTGATGTTTGGGTAAAGGACCTGCTACGGGAAGCTGATAGGTATTTGTGACTTTGTGAATAGTCTGACACCTGATGACTGCAGAACTCAATGTTATTGACACTAAGAAGCAAAGCGTAACACTTTTTACAGATCCTAAAAAAATGATGACCGATACTGTATGCATTGTAAAGAATGAGCAAGAAATAGCTTGGCCGTCATCTGTCTCAATACTGACAAAAGAGTTCAGATGAACAGTGTCAAGCATCAACTCTTCAGCCCTTCCTGCTGACAGCACTGTTTTCTACAATATTTGCCTTTTTTAAAGGCCATTGTATCACAAAGCATGTCTCAGTTCTGTGCCCATGAACTCTCCTCAGAAGAGTTCTTCCCCAGGTAGAAGTAGAAATGTGATTATCATGGACATACCTAGCTTCAACCACACTTTATATTGTTGTTCTTTAAATAATAACTTAACGCAACATCATACTTCCAATGAGTGAGACATGTACTCCTGCTTACTTATAGAATAATTGGGCCTCGTCGAGTCCTCTATCCCTCTGGGCCATGAGAAAACATTTGAGGAAACACTGTAAAACTGTGTGTGAGATTGATTGCTAATATGGAAATGTGCCACAGCCTGCATGACTTGGAATTATATGTATTGGATGATTTGCAAAAATCAGAACACCATCTTTATATTCAGTGCCAATATTCAGTTCCTATATGCTCAAAGTAATGCATTATACAGTATACATAGTACTGTATGTATACTGTACATACAGTACTATGTATACTCTATACTGTATATATATATATATATATCTTCATATTACCATTAACAGCTGTAGTTCTCTCAGCCGTATTGTCAGATTAAGTTATAAAGAGCGTGCCCACTGTCTGAACAGGGAAAAAGACATAACTTGTGAATCATATAGTTGCCATGAATTCATCCTTATCCGTCTGATCCTTCTTCACGCCAGCAGCAGACAGCAGTGTCACTGACTGGAAAGAGGCAGAATGGTTCACTGGTTTGTATTCGTTTTATTCATAGCCAACTAACTGTAAGCCTGACAAGCATGCCTGACCAAGTAAATATTGTTGTGGCTGATAAAGAGGTCAAATCAACCAAAATAGGTAAAAAACGGAATTACTTCTAGTGGTATCTCTGCATGCACATAGTTACGTCCTCAGTCCAATACACTGGAGGTGAATTTAAATTCATTTGTGGAACTTGAACCAGTTTGAGATTCACATAGCTTGACCTCACGTAGCAGATGGCAGCCTTCAGTCTCTGCAGAGGCCATCCCAACAGGAACAGGAGAGGTGCTTGTAGGTCTGAGTCTCTACCTATGGTCTCTACATGGAGCTGGGGAGAGCAAAGATAACATGACTCATAGAGTTACAATTGCAACATTTGTGGGAAATATAGCAGGTTAGATATGCAAGAATGTTCCTGTTTGAGTATTTCCCTGAGTTAAATTTGACTTCTGAGAATAGTCAGCAGGCAGATTACTTTACCTTCTGGCCTGCTGTCATATTGCTCTCATGTCTTCCTTTTTGCATTAAATCGTGTGGCTTGGATTGTACCTCATCCAGTTGCCATGCATCTTTGTGTGGAGTTGCTGTGACCTTGGATTGATTGATTTTTATTATGATATCATTTAATGTGCAGCTGAAGCGTCTAGCAATCAGTGGGTCAGTGGTTCGATCCCCTGCAGTCAACATGTGTGCTTGGGCGAGATACTTAACCCCAAATGCTCCCGTAGGCATTCTACAGTACTGAATGTCAGTCGCTTTGGATAAAAGTGTCAGCTAAATAACATGTCATTAAATATATGTAAAATATTACAATATAACATTTGCAACCTGGTACCACATGCTCTTAAGTTATGTCTTGTTTTACTCAAATATTTCACTGAGACGGTGGAAGTCTTATTGAGTAGTCGGAATAATAAGGGTCAAAGTTCAATGTATTCCTGTTTTCCAATGACCTTGCAAAAAATGACAGTGCTTACAGAGCTACTCTCTTTTACCCTAAATGTGCACAATGTCAAACTTGCATGTTGATTGTGTATCCCAGTGAGTGTGTGTTTGTCTCGTGCATGATATATGTGTCTGTGTTTGTCTCCCTGACTGTCTCTCCTGTGTCTCTCTCTGTAGGTCTGGGTGAAGGATGGGGTCAGACCTCAAGGTGCAGTCCTCTGGACAGCATGGCTAAAGAGCTGGGCTCTCACCTTTTACAAGTCAGTACCTGAACACCACGCTGCACCGCTTCAGTTACCCTGCTGAGGGATGCTGTGATATGCTGCATGCAACTGCTGCTATACCAGATGCTATTGCTGTATGCATGTGTATGCTATGCTAATACAATGTTGCTTAACTGGGTGATGCATTAGAGTGGGGGTCACAAACAGCAGCAAAGATGCTTAAATCTGGCCAAAATATTAGCTGCAATTACATTTGAAATGAAAAGAATTATCAAGATGGTGGGCTTCTTCATTCATCTAAAATAAATACAACAATGAATGCTGTATTTAAACTTTCAGGTGATAAGAAAGTCTTCTATCGCAGTCTGAAAACCAACTTATTTCTACTGCACCTTGGCAAATAAAATACATTTAAAAAATAAACTTAGTCTGTAGCCCTTAGTATGGTTTCACAAATCTAAAGCCTATGCAGTAGGATATATGATGGTCTGGCTTGCTATTGCTCAAACCAGCAGGATTCTTGCCCCATTTTTGAGATTGCATCGCTGTGGTTGATTGGTTTTTATTATAAGTCACTTTGGATAAAAGCGTCAGTTAAATGTAATGTAATATACATAATAAAGTAGGCTACAGACAGTGAGTGTTTCTCTAAGTTGTTTTTAAAATGTGTTTTACTGAATTCATTTTATACGTTTTCAATGTCCCTTTAAATGTACACAGTAATGGACACAAAGTAAGTTTTATTAAACCTCAAGTTTCTGCTGGAAAAGAGATGTGTTTGATAATCTCATACATATTTAAATATTGGTGATTGGTTATATCTTGCAACATTCTATTATTTTGCGGGTAATGTCAAAAGTCACGATGTACGCTGTGCGTTCTGTTATGGTGTCAGTGCATGGTGAGAACACTGCCCTGAAGTCATTATAAGTGTGTGTGTGTATGTGTGTGTGTGTGTGTGTGTGTGTGTGTGTGTGTGTGTGTGTGTGTGTGTGTGTGTGTGTGTGTGTGTGTGTGTGTGTGTGTGTGTGTGTGTGTGTGTGTGTGTGTGTGTGTGTGTGTGTGTGTGTGAGGGGGATCATTAATTTTAGGGTGAAGACTTGGTTAGGTTTAGGATTAGGGTTAGGGTAAGGTTTAAGCCCCTGTCACACTGTCCCGAAATTGACACCCGATGGACACACGAATATGGAATTGTGAATTTCGCACGATGATGGCCCCGAACCACACACGAAGGCAACATTTACATTACATTTAAGACATACAACTGCAACGAAAGTACCAAAAACAATTATGTTACAGTACTATGATACTGTACTGATATCTTCAGACTTTGTTCTTTACTTTATCCGTCGTTATATGTAGAAAATATTACGTTTTCTCCGTAATGTTGTTTCCATAACAACAACAACTTCCTGTCAACTGTCCTTCAAAATAATATATTATATCCTTTTTAGTTTCACAGAACACAAATTGGGTTATTTACATAATATATTTACATGATTTTGTTGTGCAATAAAACAACCCGATGGACACACGATAAAGGAAATGTTCAAATTCGGCTGTGATCGTAGCAACATCGGGCCATTCGTGAGGGCATCTTAAGCCATCGTATGACCGCCGGTGGAGTTTCTCAGGCTCCAGCAGCAACTTCGTGAGCGGTGGCAAAATCTTTGGCATGCCAAAAAATTGCCGAAGGACCTTGCGAAGGTTCATTTTCGTGTTGAATTCGTATGTCAATTGTGCCCTTCGTAATGCCATCGTGAGGGCATCGTGTTATCATCGGTGCCATCGGGCATTCGCCCCGATCAGAGTGAGGGCGAATGCCCGATGGAACCGATGATAACACGAAGATGACACAATTTGACAAGATGTCCTCACGAGTGCCTTACGAAGTTGCCGCTCATGAAGTTGCTGCCGATACGATGGCTTAAGATGCCCTCACGAATGGCCCGATGTTGCTACGATCACAGCCGAATTTGAACATTTCCTTTATCGTGTGTCCATCGGGTGTCAATTTCGGGACAGTGTGACAGGGCCTTAAGGGTAAGGGTTAGGTTTGGGTTAGGGTTAGGCATGTGTTGGTTATGGTTAAGGTTAGGATAAGTCTCCAGGAAATGCATGTAGGTCAATGTAATGTCCCCTGAAGTGATGTATACATGGTGTGTGTGTGTGTGTGTGTGTGTGTGTGTGTGTGTGTGTGTGAGTGTGTGTGTGTATGTGTGTGTGCGTGTGTGTGTGCGTGTGTGTGTGTGAGAGTGAGTGTGTGAGCGTGTGTGTGTGTGTGTGTGTGTGTGTGTGTGTGTGTGTGTGTGTGTGTGTGTGTGTACTCAGAATGCATTCCGTGCTCCATATGATTTTGTTCTCTTCAATTCATAAGCAACAGATCCAAATGTCTTTTAAAATCACATAACATGCTTTCAAGCCACCTGATCTGCTGTTTATTCCCATTCTTAGTGATTCTTAGCACATCTTCCTTTCTACTTTCATTGTATTCATGGCCTGGAGGTGTTATTTAACTGCAGATGGTTACTAAGAATATTACAAATGCGAAGTAAAACTGCACACAGTACAATGATCACCATAGATATCTGCAGCATGTTCAGGCTTTAAAAGAGACATCAGCTAAACTGAGTTCAACTTGAGTTGGGTTCTGTTACATATTACTCAGTACTTTCACTTTCTAATAAATATATTTATCGTGTAATAATAAGTGTCGAGCACAATAGGCCTGCTAAAGTGATGCAGAGGCTGAGGTACAGAATGTGCTCCTGTGAACAGAAAGTGCTGAATAAGAGTTTAGAGTTCAGCACTCGTTCATTTTTGTACCCTCAAATGAATTCTTGCACACATTTCGTGCCCTTAAAAGCTGCATTTGGTACAATAATAATAACAATAATAATTAATTACATAAGGTCAGCACCTTTAAAATAAAGTTACAAAGTGCTTAATTATAAATGAATGTATAATTTATCAATCATTAAATTACATTTCCCAAATCAATTATAAATTAAATAGTTCACAGCACATATTTGAAATTATGTTAATACACTTGAATATTTTGACAGAATTTATCAGAAAGCTTGTTTACTGCAGTTCCAGTTCCAGTGTGCAGAAAAGTGAGAAGAAATGAGCAGCTGATTATTTGCAATGTTCCCACCTTTTGTATTTGTGCTATGATTTGTATAGCCTTTATTTATACCAGATATATTAACCCATTTTCAGAAATGTATTTCGTCTCATACACTCCTAGATGTTAGTGTTTTTAAATAAAGATATAAGAAAATGTTTGCGTTTAACAGTAATGACTTGTTTCCGCTCCCTCAGACTCTGGATGGCTTCGTGTTTGTTGTGGCCTCTGATGGAAAGATCATGTACATCTCTGAGACAGCATCAGTCCACCTGGGCCTCTCCCAGGTAACACTCTCCTCCTGACCTGAATTGTATAAGAACAAGAGAATGTAACTTATAGCAAGTACTGGTCACACACATTCATCACGTGACAGAAATGGAATTGACTATTATTTGTTCATGGACTCAATACTTTTCTATCTTATGTCTTGATTTTGGAAAGTTAGTTATAAAGACATATAGTTGCTCACTTGCTGGAAATGTGTGTGTTGCAGGTGGAGCTAACCGGAAACAGTATATTTGAGTACATCCACCCATCGGACCATGATGAGATGACAGCAGTGCTGAGTCTCTGCCAGCCCCCCCACCATCACTTCTCTCCAGGTACTAAAACATCCTCCGGCTCCAGGCTCTTGTTCATATGCATGTGGTACAACCTGTCTGTCTGAAACTCTGACAGGACTCGCTGACCCTCCCTAACCCTAACCCTAACTATTCAAGGTCAATGTCTTACTTCTCGCCAATTTTTTCCAAATCTCAGGTTACCTTCTTGACAATACCACATTAACAACAGATAAAGACAGAAAGCCTGGGGATTTACAGGACATATTTAAGTCCTTTTTTTGGCAACCATTCATCCGATCACACTTTGCGGTGGTTCTTGGAATAGAAGTACCAGAGCCCGTTTAGAACAGGAACTGCAACAGTACTGTAAATCTGGTTTTTTTCAAGAATGATATAGTATGAGGGCTTTACTGTGGCGCTGATCTTGTTTATAAGATATATCAATTCTGGCGAGAGCACGCCATCGTGCCCGTATACACGATGGCGCCGCGGACGTAAACAACAACGCGACGACGGAGCTCCAAAAAAACAAAGCTGTCTATGCCGTCTGACATGGTTTTCATATTTTTGGGGTAATTATACAGTTTTTGACGTCTGGCATCACTAACATTTTGGTATGAGGGCGCCCCTGTTACCTAAAACCCTGGTACACAAATGCATCTCAACAACATGGAGAACCATTATTTGAGACAGGCATATATTAGAGACAGACCTTGAAGTGATACCTGTCAGGTTTTTTCCATGCTGGAGAATTTTAGGAAATTATTATTTTGCTAAGGAGGAGCAATACAGACTTTATTCATCTGTCATTAAGGGAAGTCATTTTCAAAAGCATCACATTTGTGCTTATGGCTTCCATTGTACCTCAATCACCAGTTATTTTGTTACTAATGCGCCTGCAAAATAAATACATTTCCATGTGTCAGCATCACAAAATGTTTTCAGATTGTGTCTCCGGAGGTGTTTATAGTTATTCATTTGGGTTAGGCTTGGGGTTGCAACTTACTGCCCTGGTAGAGCTAACTGCTGTTATGTAAGGGGCACACTTGATGATATTGGTCTGTCAAAAGAAATAGGTGAAGATTTTGATAATTTTAGGAGAAAGAAATAACTGGTGACAAAAATCCCTGGGATATTGTTTTGTAAAAACACAATACACTTGTTGGTGTACAACATATTGGTAATGCCTCTGTTTTGTGTGTTTGTGTGACAGAGTATGAATTAGAGCGCTCCTTCTTCTTGAGGATGAAGTGTGTTCTTGCTAAACGGAATGCAGGACTGACCTGTGGGGGATACAAGGTAGGTGCAGCCACTGTATACACACACACTATAAGCTCTTGGTTAATTGAGGGACTGCAAGAGATTTCATTTAAAATTGGTTCAAAAACTATTAATTTGTCATCAGCAGCCTATTGGACTGAGCCAACACTTTGGACGTTGAGGATTATTCAGTCAATAAAAGCTCTTCAATAGTCAGATGTTTGTCCAATCACCTCAATAAATAGAGCCTCTTGCAGAGGTGGGAAGTAACTAAGTACATTTACTCAAGTACTGTTCTTAAGTACCATTTTTAGATACTTAGGTACTTTACTTGAGTATTATCATTTTAAGCTACGTTGTACTTCTACTCCACTACAGTTCAGAGGTAAATTGTGTACTTTTACTCCGCTACATGTATTTAATACCTTTTACTTCACAGATTTGGAGAATGATGTGAAATATAATCAAGTGTTAAATCAGACTTTAGTTCCACTTGGAGTAAATTCACCAGCTACCCTGCAGTATACAAAGTCATTCAAACTAGCTGCACCTTTACCAGCTTGGAGAACACTTTCATGATCAATCATTATAAAACATATATTATTCTGAAATGGACCAATCTGCACAATGACTACTTTTACTTTTGGTACTTTAAGTATATGTTGATGTTAATACTTTTAAATGAGGGACTTTTACTTGTAATAGATTAGTCCTACACTCTGGTACTTCTACTTTTAATTAAGTACAAGATTACTACTTCTCCCACCTCTGGCCTCTCGTAATCCTTACAAACACATCTGTGTGATTTACCGTACAACAGGTGAAAGAGTAGGCAGAGACTAAATGAGAACGCAAACGGTTGTTCACTGCTGTAGCATGGTCAGTAGCAGTAGCAGTAGCTACTGACCATGCTACAGCAGTGAGCAGCAGAGGTGGGGAGAGGTGGGGCTATGGCTTCATCGTTATCAGGAAATGATCGTGTAGAGCGTACACACTGAGCCGTTTGGCCCCCAGAGCGTTCCGTTTGCAGATCTATCCACCTTGGGATCGTTTGCGGGGTCCGTATCCGTGGTTCCGTTACGGCCTCGTGTGAACGAACGGGCTATATGCGAGAGATACAACCCGTTTCATTCTCGTGAAAACAGCACATAAACAGACAGGTACAGCACTGAAGAAAATAGTTTTTAAAGTTGGCTTGTTTCAATTCCATATTTATGTCAAACTGGTAGAGAAGTGGATGCATGAAGGATGTGTTTGCTCATTGATTTATATATGCTGGTGTTTTGTTACGCTTTTAAACTTATCTTATCTCTTAACAGGGTTATGTTAACACTATATTGTAAAAATGTGGCTGTAGCGGAGTTGCCCTGGCTCACATCAGAAACAAACATTTTAATAAAAAATGTACAAATATGTGGCTGTATTTAAATGTATAATTGGTATTTTGGAAGCTCTGCTTTAATCAGTCACATGACAACCTGCAGAACATGTCTATCATGTTCCATCTAAAAAAATATGAATTCTTTGCTGACACTTTCCAAAACGCTATTATCATCTCAAGCATCCGAAACAGATCAATGCATTCACTACCAATTGGGTGGTAGCACACCCTCTAAAGGAGGTGTGTGCCTTTACATGAACACAACACATGGAGCAGAAAGGGCCAGCTGGGTAAACAGTTAGTGGCTGCAATAATGCCTCCATACATATGAGTTGCATTTTGGAATTTGAGTAACAAATGCTTGAATAAATAAATAATATGTTGAGTTTGTTCACTTAAATTCTGAACATTGTTAGATTATATTGTTTTAGTTTCAAACTCCTTGGTCAACTGGCAGCAGAAGTTGCACTCTCTCTGTCCCTCTGAACCATTGAATGACCCTGATGTCCTGCTGTGGTTCCCAGGTCATCCACTGCAGTGGCTACCTGAAAGTGCGTCAGTACATGATGGACATGGCCCTGTATGAATCCAGCTATCAGACTGTGGGTCTGGTGGCCGTCGGCCACTCCCTGCCCCCCAGTGGTATCACAGAGATCAAACTCCACAGCAACATGTTCATGTTCCGGGCCAGTCTGGACCTGAAACTCATTTTCTTGGACACAAGGTAGGAGAGAAGCTTTGCTGAGCAGTTGTAGAGAAAGATGAAAGCCATGATATGGTGATATCCTGCTGGTCTCTGTATTGATCATGAGAACCATCACATATAATCAGAATCTATGGTAACAACAAATCCCTCCTACAACACATGCATAATATAACATGTTCTAAGCATATAAAATGATCTGTTTTAAAATATTTGGACTGCTGGATTGTTAAGTTGAACTGACTGTGATTGTGTCCTCTCTCCTCTGTGCTGGAGCCAGGGTGGCAGAGCTGACAGGATATGAGCCTCAGGACCTGATAGAGAAGACCCTCTACCACCACATCCACGCCTGTGACGTCTTCCATCTGCGCTACGCTCACCATTTATGTGAGTCCTCAAACATCCTTAGTCAGAATTTGGTGGGAGGGTAAGTCCAAGTTCAGTTACAAATCAACAATGAATGAATAAATAATGTAATGGCTCAGAAAAACAGCAAGCAAACCATATCACTGACAGGAAAAAGATACAGTTCCATAGGTGGCTGTGGCTCAGGAGAGCAAGTCGTCGAGTAATAGCCTTAATCAATCAGGTCTCCTAAGATATCATTCAAAAATGGAAAAAGGCGGATGTGTTCTTATAATGCCAAAGTGCTTAACCAGATACATATAATGTCCACTGGGTGTGTTAAATGCAGTCTTACTTTTCATAACAATCCCACATTACACATAAAAAAAACTGAAAAATGTACTTTAATTAAATGTACTAATATTAAGTTTAACCTAATATTTGTAATTTAAACTTAATATTATTTGTGTGAAATTTGTTGACATAAAACACTCAGACCCGGTGCCGTGGGAGAGCCAGGCAGGGCCAGGCCAAAATATAAGAGTAATACATGAAAAACAGGTATGAAATACTATATGACAGTAAAACAAGAATACAGTTTAAAAGGGGAGTGATTTGTAAAATATCCATAAAGAAAAAGAAATCTGCTTACAGTTGTGTTTCATATGGATGTTGAGATGTATCCATAGATCTCTTAATGTTGCTCTCAAAGTGCACCAGATTGATGCGTTTGACTTCAATCATTAAAAAAAAAATCTTCCCGGGGGAGCATGCCCCGGATCCCCCTAGAGGAGGTGAGGTCCCCCTCACTTAAAAGAAATATCACCTTACCCCTGCTTACACCTATATGCCGTGAGCTGATTATCGAGCCTTCATTGTAACAGTCGCGGCTGTACTGTGTGCGTGTGGGGAGTGTTGCAGTAGAACATTCCACTGTAGCGCTGGTACATTAATGGGAATATGAAACGTCAAGCTACCCCACAGCACCCCCAAAAGAAAATCTCTGGCGCCGCCATTGGCCGCGGCACATGACGGTTTTGTGTGCCCTCCCATGAAAATCATATGCCCTCTCTGTAGATTTGTTCTGGCGCCGGGTCTGAATACACTTAAAGTCAACGTTTCTGTTTTTTCAGTGCATCTATCTGAGATGATATGCATTTCCGATGTCAAGCATGGAAAGACAATACAGCCCCTTGAGAGCAGAAGAGATCAGTAGAAAAGGGAACGTGTTATTGACAGTGATATCAGTAATGATTGATAAAGTGAAGTTGGGTAAAAGGATGTGGTAAACTTCAGGCCTGCAGACAGGGCTGATACTTTACTAGATGTGATCGAAGTCTCCATATCCAAGTGTGGTCGTCAGTGCATTTGTAAAGACATCAGTTACACGATTATAGAAGGTATTGTTGAGACAAAGAATCACATTTACTTTCAGCCGCGATGATTCAGGACCCAATGGAATGGTCGGCGACCCTTCTCCCTCTTTGGACCAGTCACTGATAGAGTCCCCGGCTCTATCAGTGACTGGGAGATGATGTAGGTGTAGATGTCTTGGATCACTTAGATTGGAAGGAGTAGAAAAAAGACTGACGAGTTCCTGGAGCTTCAGGGCTGCTTTGATCAAAACAGAGAGATGTGGTTAGGGTGCAGTGTGTTAAAAGCTGTAAAAACAGTAAGCGGGCATAATCTTCCAGGTCTTTAGTGACCAGTTTGAAGGCCGGGTTTTGGCTCTACTAAAAAATTTGCAAGTTTGCAATTATGTGTTTGTAGAACTTGGCAGTGGTGAGCCGTCAGGGCCCTCTAGGCCCTCTCTGAGGGCCTAAGATATTCTACAAAATAATATTTAAAAACATTAAAAAAAAATTTAAAAATGTTTACTTATATTTTTCATTAGTTTTACCAGAATAACTTGATTTAGTTGCATTTAAAATAACATTTCCAAAGAAATAAATCCTTCGAATCTGCCTATTCAGTTTCTGTTTGAATGTGAAGGGTTAAATGAAAGAAGCTCCTTTAGCCGTCTCTGCGAGTTCCTGTGAAGACAGGAGCTGATTGGAAGTCCTGCTGTAAATTCACAGAGGGCCCGAACTGAACGAGAGAGTAATGTCAAATGACAGTACAATTGACCAATCATATCTTCCCTCTAAATGGGTGGGTTTTATTATCGCAGACTTTATGACAAGTTCCGCCCGCTGTGAAGCTTTTCTTGTTTCCATAGCAACAATAACTTCCTGTCAACAGCTTAAACTCGCCTTTAAAATAAAAGCATGCATTACACTTAAGACATACAACTGCAACGAAAGTAACAAACACAATGCAATATCCTTTTCAATTTCAAAGAACACAAATTGGGTTATTTACAGGTGTTGTTTTGTGTGGTAGGGTGTCGCTTTCATTGATGCGTTTTGCAACCCGGGCCGTTGTTTTGATAGTATACGTATATAAGTATACGCTGTGACGTAATAACGCTTTTTTTTTTTTTGGTCGAGGGAAGGGGTGGGGGTCAGAGGGCCTAGGTATAACAGTCACTGCTCGCCACTGGATATATATATAACTAAAAACTCAGATTTTGCAGGTCAGATTTTTGTTTTAAATTGAAATCGTGCATCTCTAGAGTTCCCCATGTAAACTAAACAAATAATATGTCAATGTTATGTCACAGCTTGTTTCTATTGTCCACAGGGGTCTAAAGTTACACTCTGTTTAACTTTTTCTCTATTCTTTTTTTGAATGAGCGTTGTGCAATGCTAGTTTATAAAGAGGCTCTTCCTGTATGATTCTAATGCCCTGATGTCAGATTTGACAATGTCTCTGTTTAATTCTGATCTCTGTGTTTCCTGTAGTGCTGGTTAAGGGTCAGGTCACCACCAAGTACTACCGCATGTTATCGAAGCATGGAGGCTGGGTGTGGGTGCAGAGCTACGCCACCATTGTGCACAACAGCCGCTCCTCCAGGCCTCACTGCATCGTCAGTGTGAACTACGTCCTCACGTGAGTAGATGTCCTCCACCTCCTATTTCTCCATATTAAACCTCCAGTTAAAACAGAACAAAGACATCAGAGGTGTAAGAAGTAATACTCAAGTGTGAATTATCCTTTGTTACAAGTAAAGGTCCTGCATTCAAATCGTAGTTAAAGTACAAAAGTATTGGCGTCAAAATATACTTCAAGTACAAAAAGTAAAAGTACAAATGTTTCAGTAATATCAGATTTTAAATCATTTTTTATAATGTTTTTTAATTGCATTAATGTCAATGTTGCATATGGTACTGGTGGGGATTATTTAAATTACTTGATATACTGCTGGGTAAATGAAACTATAATAATACATAATGATGTTTTTGTTATTTTATTTTCTGTTTCCATACATACATTTGTTTGTTATGTAGTAGAGTAAGTTAAAAAAAATCCTCCAAAATGTAGTTAAGTAAAAGCATAAGGTATCATAACATGAAAAGTATCTCAACATCTTACTTAGTTCTTTGATAAATGTATTTAGTTATATTCCACCATTGAAAGACTGCCTGTTTCCACACAGTGAAGTTGAAGGCAAGGAGCTGCTGTTATCTGAAGACCAGAGTCGAGCCAGTAAGCCCTGTGTCAGTATGTCCTCCACTCAGGACCCCCGCAAACACCTCCGAACCAAAGCAGTCAAGATGAAGCCCAAAGTAAGAGCAGCTCCCTATCCTGAGGCGGGACTTCCTGCCGGCCTGCTGAGTAAACAAAAGGTAAGGGAAATGATTTGAGCCCCATCTTAAAAGAGAAATGTAATTCAGATCTTCAGTGTGTAACTGTATTTGTGGGTATCAGGAGGCTGCTAGCCTCTTCCAGCCAGACCGCTCCACCTGCTCCTTACAGAGGGGGGTGTGGAAGGAGAGATCCCAGTATCCCCTGACCCCCTGCAGGGAGAAGAGCTCCAGCTTGAGCCCTGAGGCCGGCCAGGTGCCCTGCGGCCCCCCCTACAACCTGACCCTGCACTACCCCTACAGCCCTCAGAGCCCGTTGCCTCGCTCCGCCCCCCCCTCTCAGCTGACTCAGCACGTCAGAGGCTCTGTGGGGTGGAACATCAGCAGCCCCCCCTCATCTAACAAATACACAGGTACACTGTTTATCCAATGGTTGTCATCGTTACAACAATTAAACTTAATTTAAAGAAAATCATAGATTCATAGACGTGTTTCCTTTATAAATGATATTTAACCTGGACTCTCTCATCTCAGCTCATGACCATTGATCACAACATCTGGTTAAATGAGCTCCTTCTTTATTGGTTTGGACCATTCTGCTGACATCTACATCTATGTCAGATCATCAATATTTCTTATTGTAATATTTACTTGAGTTGCATCTCTTTTCAAATACAGTAAGGTATCATCAGATAGGGCAACAATGAGTGTTCAACTAGAGATAGAAATCCTTTCTATATCACTATTTTTAAACATGGATATGAGAAGGTCATATTACAATGACTTTATAAATACATGAAGCCAATGGACTACAAAACAGTCACAAAAGAAAAATAGGTATATCTATGGTATCAAAGGCTTTATTAAAACGAAGATAGAAGATTAAATAGGTATTATACATGATTCCTCATTTAACCCTACAGTAGGTTTTTATCAAACCTGATTGGCAAAAAAGGTTTCTCTCTTCTAACTCATAAACCCACTGCTGTTTTTTTAATTAAAAGTATGTTCCTGAACACTGTCCGCTCCTGTTGCTGCAGGAGTTCAGGTGTAGTTTCTACTGCTGAGTTGTGTTTCCCTCCCCAGGCCCCGGGGGGCTGGCAGCTGAGCGCAGGTTCTCTGATGACATCTATCCGGATTGTTCCAACACCTCACATTCCAGCAGCAGGCTGAAGGAAGAGCCCTACGAACATTACACACTGGTCCACAGAGAGGTGTCTGACATTTGTTCCCACCCCCGTCTTCATGGCACCAGAGACAGTAAAGCTTCAAACCAGGCGCTCCACCATGAGGGGGCTTCAGGTGAGCGGGGCCCCTCCTGTCCCCTGCTCAGCGGCGTGGGGCTGGAGCAGAGGAGGAGGCTGTGTATGATGGAGGCCCCTTACGGCCCCCCAGCTGCAGGATACCCCCACCCTGCTGACGGGGCTGCTCCTCATCAGCACAGGTCTGCAGAGGAGGACAGGAGGACGTTGGGGGGTGGGGCCCAGGCTCCATACATGTCTATGAACTTCCATAAAGTGCTGGGTAAACACGGCTCTGTAACCACGCTGAGCCACCTGACGGACCCTCACAGCGCCGGCTCGTCTCCGGAGAGCCACAGAGAGATCCCACATTACATCGGCACATCGGTGATCATCACCAACGAGAGGTGACCCAGGACAGATCTCAGGACGGGGAGCCATAACTCTGACTGTTCACAGACTGCAGCCAGGGTCCGTCACCTTTCAGAAGCCATGTTGCACTCCTGCAGGATAGTTTGACACACCACAGGATATTACAGCTCTTTTTCTTCAATGTTGTCTGTCATATATAAGATCAACTTGAACATTTTCTATAGACTGAAAAAACTGAAACATTGACTTTAATTAAATGTATTATGTCAACAGATTTCTCATAACTGTATTAGGTCAGTTGAAAGCAATAATATTAAGTTTAAATAAAAAAACATTAGGTTCAACTTCATATTATTGCTTTCAACTACCTAATACAGTTATGTGAAATCTGTTGACATAATACATTTAATTAAAGTCAATGTTTCAGTGTTCTCAGTATAGAATATATATGCAATACAGTTTGTTTCAAGATTTTTTATTTGATTATTAGTCAACTCAACCCAAACCTACGGCCCAAACATTGTAAACATTTTGTTCTTAAAAGGAAAAAATTATTTAATAAATAATTGAATACATTTTCATATATGGAAATGGTCACTGGTGAACATCTAGAAAGTATTAGTAATGAGTCAGCGTGAAGAAGAAGACCTTTCACAGACTTTGATTATCAGCACTGTTAATAAATCAATTTGAATTAAAAAAAGACATTTCAAATTGATGCTAAGCATAAATCAATAAATGTAAAAGCTCTCAAAACCTTGATATGTTCTTAACAAATTCAAGTCATCTTCTTTGAGCAAACAGAAAAGGACTTGCATTTGTGGTGCATATGATAATGTGCAGCCACAGCAGAGCAGCAACAAGCCTCCATTACAGCTTTTATTGAACAGTAAAATAATGAAGGCACTATTTATTCAACATTAAATATTTATTGCATAACTTAAATTACCTATCAAGCATAAGCACACTCTAAACACAGTGCAATATATGGGCAGCCTAGTTTATGTAGTATAATGTGAGCCTGAAGGCATTACACATTGATATCTGTCAACAATACAAAATGGTTTACCATTACTTCGGGTTGGCCAATGCACAATAACTTGTTAAAAAACAATTCAAATAAAACAAATAAGCTCCTTAATATTGGTTTCATTGAACAACTATTGAATAACAACAGAACAGTTTTGCTAAGAAAAAAAACGTGCAGATGGATTAAAGAAAGCTGATGAATCCACAGGCTGTCTGCTGCCTAATGTGCTTCTACTAAATACTGTTAACACATTTGCATACATTAGACCAGGGGTTCTCAAAGTTTTGATGAGTGAGGGCCAATTTAGGTACCCAATATTGGATTGAGGGCCGCCCAAGAAAAAACGGAACACAAAATAATTCCAAAACAAATCCTTTCTTTATTGTACTAACCAATTACCGCAACTCGCAAGATGCCTAGTTGCCATGCAACCAGTAGTCTAGCAAACTTTCCACAAGCTGTCATTCATAATTTAGGAATGACAACCCAGGGGGCGCAGTTTTACCATTCTTAACCCTCTGGAGTCTAAGGGTATTTTCTCGATTTTTAGATGTTTTCTTAAATCACCTTTTAAATGTATTTCTTCTAACATGGCACCCCATGTGTTACATATCAAAATGTTCAGGACAATCTCTGGTCTTGCTATATATGCATATTGCTCACCTTAGAGCACTGTTTGATGAGATAAGTAGCTCAAAAGCTTAATATGTGTAATCCGATATTTGGAAAATCTTCAAAACTCTTGTGAAAACACAAATTTACTCATGTGATCGAATTGTTTTGGTGTTTTAGATTTGGTTACCAAAGTCTTAGGATCACAAAAGCAGTGAAATATTTGAATTACACTGTATATAAATGTGTTATTCATGTCTAAAATGAAAAACATTCAATTCAAATGTTGAATAAAATAGGTGTTTATCACTCTACTTTCACCACAGCAGGGACTGAGATACATTACATTACATTTCGCTGACGCTTTTATCCAAAGCGACTTACAATTACCAATTACAGGGACATTCTCCCTGGAGTAACTAAGGGCTAAGTGCCTTACTCAAGGGCACACTAGTGGATTTGAACTCACAACCTTCCGATCTTCACCCCACCTCATTATCCATTAGACCACCACTAGCCCACATCAGGACTGAATAATAACTTCATATTACATACCAAGGTTCATGTGATGTGTACAAATACAAATTGAGCATTCAACCTTTTTTTTCAACCAACTATTTATATAAATATAAGAAACTGGAAAATCTCACTATTTACAATATTGAACATCAGAACTTTCAACCAACTATTCATTATAAATGTCAAGACAGTGTCAAGGTCTTTGTCTGACAGTGGGTCTGGCTGCTGTGAAGATGGGGGTGATGGTGCATGGGCTGCTGTGTAGGTGGGGTGTCCAAGTGCTATACAAGACCTCCTTTCTGGCTGGGTTGAAGGTGATGGCTGTGGTGGAGCCTTTGTGCTGAGGTGTATCTTGACATGGTGGCAGCCGCAGATGGAGGTGGAGGCAGCTGTAGTGATGCTGGTCTGCTGGTCCTTGGTGGTGATGGCTCTGGTGAAGGCCCTTGAGCCACAGTAGATCTTGACCTGGGCCACAGTAGATCTTGACAGATGGATGTTGTGGCTGCTGGATAAACGCCGCCTGTGTAGGACAATAATTACAACTAATTTCATTGAAATAAAGTTCAAGTAAAATGTTGCTCAAGCAAAAATAACAATGCACACATACAAATAAAGTTTGGGAGGTTGCAGAAGGAGTCTCTCTCGAGCTCTCTCTCACACACACACACACACACACACACACACACACACACACACACACACACACACACACACACACACACAGGTATTTCCAGTTACTTTACATTCAGTATAAAATCACAGAAACACATATACATAGGCTACATCTGATTACAAAGTCTCATCTGTACAGGACGGTAAAATAATAACAGGCACACATATAAATAAATCTATGACAAAGTCTCATCTGTACAGAACAGTATGATAAAATAATCGATGGCAAAAACATGTCACTGTAAATGTCTCCGTTGTGGGACGAATACATGATTAATGTAATCATCTACACATGTAATCTCACTTTTACACACCAAAATAACGTTAACACAGAGTAAATGTTTGCTAATGGTGAGTCTATTTTGTTCCAATAAAAAGTTCATGACTATCGATAAAAAATATATCAATAAACCTATTGTTCATTTTCGTGGTATTCCCCACACATTGCCAGTACACTATTACTGTAATATTTACACTTACCCATGTCCAAATGGATCCTTGTTGTTGTCTTTGTATTCTTCTTCTTCAGAAGAGTCGAAGAATTCAGGTTCTGAGGCTCTATCTTCACTGCTGCTAGCGAAAAAAATCTCTAGCGAAGTCGGCAACTGTAAAGTTTTTTTTAGCCATTTTATCTGTCTCTCTCTCTCTCTTCACAGATGTAAACTGATGGGAGACACGTGGTTTATGTTTTTGTTACTTGGTGGTAGGCCCTTAGTGATTTCTCGATGTCCATTGGTCATTTCAGACCATGATGGCTGCCGGCCGAGATTTCCTTGACGGACACACAAATCCACCAATCCCACACAGTGTAAAGTCAAGCTGCTTTGAGCGGCCATATTGGCTGCTGTGCCCTGGTTACAGTCTCACAGGAGATACCGCTGGAAAGCTACTCATTCTAATTCTTACTAGATACAACCATGGAGGATTCAAATATGACGCATGCATTTCAGCGTGTCACATTAACTATCGCGGGCCGCCAGAAACATTTCCGAGGGCCGCCATTGGCCCGCGGGCCGCACTTTCAGAACCCCTGCATTAGACATATCATTTTTGTTTTCATGTGATAATTGTCAATCAATTTGAATTGTGTTATGACTTGGGAGCTGCTCAGTTTCTAATACAATATTTCCCATTAACTCACAGACCTTCCCATTGTTCCCAATCAACACACTTGGTCTTAATTTGATGATTCAGTGAAGAATGAAGATTTCAATCTGTGTCCAAATGAAATCATTGATTATTTAAAATCACCAATTGATAAACAGAGAGAACAAAAACTGCTTTTTATTGTACTTTGACAAATCTTTCATAAACATGTTATCAAAATGACAAATTCTATGATTTGATTATTCAAACTGTCTTTTTAATTCACCAACAAATAATCTGACTAGCAAGTGTAATAATGATGCGTTTCATCTTTAAATCTGGACTCACACGTGCCTACTTACATTATACTGACTCAGTCACTGAGTGTCATGGTAATAAAGCCAATAATCCAGATGGAGTAAACAGGCTTTCTTCTAGTATTTCATTCATGACATGAAAACACTTACTTCAGAACATCCTGTGGCCGTGATGACTTCCACATTGGCGTGCTGTTTCTGAGAGGGGGAAGAAGAGGAGGAAGAAGAGGAGGAAGAGGAGGACGGATGTTTCTGTGAAGCACCGCTGCATCCAGCTCCAGCAGTTTCAATGTTTCCTTTGACGTTTTCACTTCATCTGGGGAGGATGGTGCCGAGGACAAATGATGTGTCCTTAAGTGGCTGTGAGACGGACTTCAGACACACGCAAGCACACACACATACACACACGTCAAATCCTCAGGATGAATCTCTTTCCTCTGCAGTTAGTGCTGTCGGTAACACAGGCCTCTCCAGTCCAGTGGTAACGTTGCCCGCTTGGTAACTTAACCCCACACAACATTTACCGTTGAAATGATAAACGGACTGTGCTTTTCCAGTCTTCACAACCACTGAAAGCCGTTTGACATATACAGGTCATTTATGCAGAAGCTGCCATATGATGCCATCAGCTCAGACTAACATTCACACACACTACACAGCACGCCTATCTGGAGCAGTTTTGGGTTAGGAATCTTTCCCAAGGACACATCGACATGTTGTCTGCAGGAGTCAGGGATCCAACGATAGGTGGAGACCGCTCAACCTCCTTAGCCGCTCCCGAAACACGCCAACACTCCAAGACTCTTGTCAACACAACATTTACAAATGCAATTAATTTGTATAGAGACTCATCAATGAACTTCTGTTATGCAGATACTAAGAGGACACTTTTTCTTCCGTCAAATCTACTGCCATCCCACTGAATAACTCAGCCTCAAAGGGTACCATTACAAAGATGATTCACTGAAACTTGCCAGAATGTTACATTAAATGTTTTGCTAAAATCTTATATGAACTATTTTTATTTTCAGAACTTTGATTTAACTTTATTTAAGATAATATTACAGGTCAAAGCAGCTCTTTCCCTGCGAAACCATGAGGATATTGACAGTTATTGCTTCCTTCTGTCTTTATATCTTGTATAATGTGGATGTTGCAGAGCGCTGTGGCCAGGTAAGTGAAGTTATAGTATAAAGACAAGAACAACATGTTTCTGTGGAAATATTTATTTGGCTGCAGCTAAAGCTGAAACGATGACTGTTCTTATGTAAGTGTGAAACAAAGTTAGCTTTTCAGACGAGGGGTGCAAATTGAAAGACAATGGTTTGAACTGGTGCTCCCAAAACAGAATCAAATCAAATCAATGTTTGTGCTCGTGAGCAATCACTGATGCAGATATTACTTTTGTTATTCATGTAGCTGCCATTAACCCTCTCACATCACCGTTTGTCTTCCAACAACTTATCCTTAAGCTAACCGATACCAGGAACATATTTAGTGCTTAACCAATTAGAAAACATGGATAAATGTATACTGTATACTGTAGTTGCATTAGAGTGGTTGAGTCTGTTGCCAGAAACCATGATATTCTGTAGTGATTTGGTCCTAACGCTGCTTGATGACCACCAGGTTCTTCAGCATGTCGAAGGAGTTCCCATCGGGCTCCACTGACACCACGCCCTGCTCCTTGTTGTGCACCTGCAGGAAGCCGTTGTGGTCCAGGCCGACCACCTCCGCCTCCACCCCGTCCTCGCTCCAGAGCCGCACCCGGGTCCCGCTGAAGGCGAGCACAGAGGGACAGTCAGTGCTCTGCTCAGGGTGTTTCATGAGGAAAACACATCTCTGCAACTCAAGTGCTATTCATTATCCTCTGAGAGTGAGAGTGAGATAAGGCTGGGACTCCCTCCATAGCTTTCTGCACACTTTCCACATTTGATCATAGCATGGAATGCATTGCAAGGATATCTCAACAGGCCAAATGTCTATGAAGGATTTCTTTGTCGGATTTGTTTGCATTTAAAGTAAAATACAATATACAATCTATGTGGTTCTTTTTGATTCATGCTGTAACTGTTTTAATACAATAAAGAATATTAGAAGAGCAATCATTTAGTTTTTAGTTTGAAATGAAATGTATGAATCAATTAAGATGAATGCATTTTCTATGCCAGATTAAATGACTACACCAAAGTCTAAGTGAGAAAGTGTGATGCATATCATTTCATTACAAATGGTTGGGGGTTATGGGGTTTATGCAGGATGTCCCATAGGAACCAGTCATGATTCTTCCTAACCATTGGTGGTGTGCAGTATTTTAACATAATCCTATATCGGCTCAGCTTGCTCAGAACCATGGCTGAGCTGGAAACAAAAGAATACATGGGGCTAGTCCACAACTTTCCCTGAACACGGCAGTAATGAAACGTTAAATCACAGTCTGCAGCACTCACCTATGCAGCCATCTCTTGTAGTAGGTGGGCAGGACGGCGTCGGGGCCCCCCTGTTGGAAGCTGCAGATGAGGGCCTCCAGGAAGCTGACGCTGCGGGCGATGATCTGAGCGCAGCAGAGCGGGGGCAGGCTGCAGCCCTGCTGGGTGTTGTGCTGCTGGATCAAGTCGTTGATGCACACTGTGGGGTTACTGTTGGTCACGTTGAACCCACAGCCTGCAGGGAACATCAGGTCAACACATATTATTATGGAATTCTGTACTCACAAGAGGCCTGTTGCCAAATACCATATTTTCACTAATGGTGACTATTTGTTCCAACTCTTGGTTGTATAGAAGAAGTAGGTTTCAGGTGATGGAACACTGAATGTGATACGGAGCTGGTGAGTTTGTTGAATCATTAGCAGGAAGGGTTGAAGCCTGTGACACAAGATTTTCATCGGCATAACTACACTGTAGCTATGTTCGTATGACTAAATAAAGAACCTTGAACCTTGATGTAGATAAGACAGCAGCAAAAAGAAGATTTGTGATGCAGCTTTTGTTAATTATGCCGCAAAGCTATGGAACAAAATACCTATAGACATGAGGGAGGCCTGCTCGATGAAGCTCATAACTCCTGCTCTCTGCTGCACTCCGATGCATTTCAACCTGTCACCTGATTTTGTGTTGTATTTGCACTATCTTCCTTTTAATGCACAATTTTATCGTCATACCTTTAATCTAAATGTATTTCTTACATGCTATTTTAAGTTTGTTTTTATGTTTTCTACTGCTAACTGTATTCTATGTTCTGTGAGTATGTTAAGCGATGTCTACTGTGAAGCACTTTGATCTGCAAATAAAGATTATTATAAGAGTGAAAAAGAGAAATGTCAGTTAAAGCCTGCTGACTCAGTCATTAGCTGTGATTAAGTGTTGTTACCTATGAGCAGATGAAACGTTGATCCTATTACTGTGGAAGTCACCAGAACCCCCCCGAGCTTCATCAGGTTACCGTAGTAGATGTCATTGGGCCACTTCACCCTCAGGTCTAAATCCTGATGAAGGATAAAACATATTCCAACACCATCAATCATCAACATAACACATTTTCCTGGAACACAAATGCACTGATCTTAAAAGTACTACCACTTACTTTTACTACTCTGTAATACAGTGCAATAGCTTTCTACAACAGACAACTTCTTTGATGTCTGAGATGTATTCAGATGTACAGTATTTGGTTCAAATCACAGAGATGTGCAGTCACATAATATGTTACTGTTGATGGAGCTGCGGTAGTGAAATGTGGATGTTATACCTGGTATCCAGGAAGTGAGCGAACAGCCTCCACCACCGCCAGAGCCACCAGATGCTGCAGGAAGGGGATCCTCTGCCCCAGCCTGGAGCTCAGCTCCACCTGCAGGGACAGGGTGAACATGGCGCACCCCGGGGGGCTGAGCCAGGCGTTCCCCCCCCGACCTGCAGCAGCAAACACAGGACAGAGACACTAAGGTACCAAACACCAACACACAATTCTGACAAATAACAGGAATGAATCCAAATGAAGTGAATCTGCTTCACCTTAAAACCATTGAGGTGAATGTTGTGTGAGCATGTTTTCAGCGTGCAGCAGCACTGACCTCTGCCCTGGATCTGTCGACCAGCTATCGCTATCAAACCCACGTCCTTTGGTAAGTGCAGAGTCAGACTGAAGGGAGACAAGAAGGAACAACACAGACACGTTCAAATCTTCTTCAAAATGACTTAAATGGACTCCTACTTTAGCCTTGCTTTTACTGTAGCTCTATTAACAACATTCAAATATTGACAGTTAATAACCTCCACCAAAGAGGTTATGTTTCTGGTTTGGCTTTGTTGGTTTATATTTTGTCAAATCAAATCAGAGGTATTATATTACCCCTGTTTGCATGGAACAAAGCAAACATCCATACATTGTTCACACAAATCTGTGTATTATATGCACAATGGACAACAAAGTTAACCTTTAAAGCAAGGGGTTTGGGAGTATGACATTGTTTACAATGGATTACTTCTTCTGTGGTGCACATCCGGCTGGTGGCGACTACCTAGGTCGCAACCAGGAAATGAGTATGTCATGGTTCACTGCTACACCAAAAAAAAGATTTGATCTGATGATATACGTGGTAACCATTGGGACCTCCCAGAGTATAGCTTTCGACAAAGAGAGATCCAGTTGATTTTTTTATGATTCCAGACCTTTCCTTTTTGCAGTTTCTCAATTTGGATTCTATATTTTAAAGGATTTATCAAGACTTAAACTACTACGACACCACTGACCCCTCCAATGGTTAATGGTAGCTTTCCTAATGCTGCAGTCTTTTACGTTGACCACCTTTTGTTTTAACAGCAATGCCTTTTGGCTAATAGTTTTGCTTCCGGATACAGTACACAGGAAGACATACACTTACCGGTAAAACACTAATCCTGTGTGACACTGTCCTCACTATCAGCTATGCCTCCACCCATGAGCTCGGTGCAGTGTACCTTCTGACACACTCACACACAGCTATATAAAATGTCCGGTTTCTCAAAATGGTATAAACATGTTGCTGGAATGGTTATTCTATTACTCCATTAGTTGATGAATAGGTTATTAGTAGCTTTATTTGATCATTTTTGAAAGGTGCAAAAAAGCTTGTTTGAGAATATTTACAATGTGCATGGAAGCATTTTAAAGACCAGTCTAAGCATTAAGACATCTGCAGATGAATAGATAATAAAATAAGAATAAGTTGCAGCCATAAAAGGTTTAGCACTTTTTTCAAACCACAGAAAGAAAGATTTAATATTTTTCCACCACCAACATTTGGAAACCACAAAGCTGTCTGAACTTGTCAGTTTCTTAATAACTATCACGTGAGTTACAGTTTAAAGTGACGTTTTATTGCCATGACCACCTTGCAATCTTATCAATCAGCATTCCATTAACGCTCATTGGAGAGTTGGGGGCAGTTAATACCAGAAACCGAAGAGAACATGTTTGCACATTCTCTCATCTCCAAATGCAATTAAAGCTGATCCAGTGACCCAGTGCAGCCGCCCTCTGTTGGCCACTGAACAAAGATGGTGGAGCCGCTAAAGCAAGCGAGCAGGGCCTTTCTGCTATTGTCATGCAAAGTGGTTCACTGGTGAATCAGCTTAAGCACACAGGGAGCCCCAACCCAGATAGAGCTTTGTAACGGACTTCTCTAAGAAGTGTTTATCAAAGGGATAGATGGATCGCTCAATCTAGACTCTGAGCTCGGGAATTCTGGTGTGACAGACTTGTTACTGCGGACTAAATTAGCCATGAGCCTTCGTAAGCCTTTGTCCAGATGATAAGTACTGCTGATTATGAAAAGCATGACAGGACAGATCTTATAACAACAGTCCGGTGCCTTGTGTACTTTTCTTGTTGAAGACATTGAAAGAGATGGGAGTCAAAAATAGGCTTCAGCCATCTGAACACAAATAAAGTAAATATCTACCAAAGTTGCAGCCTTTTTATTTCAAAGATGTTACTATCCTTTTTGCAGCTCAATAGGGAAACACTAAGTAACGCAAAGACACATTTTCATACTAAAGATCTTCAGCTCATGGAACCTATTAGCCCTACTATGGTAGAAAGCAGAGTTATTAGTGGTTCCAAGAGTCTCCAAAAGTCCAACAGGAGCCAGAGCCTTCAGCGATCAAGCTCTTCTGTGGAACCAACTTCTACTTTGTCTTCTGGAGGCAGATATCCTCTTCACAGTTAAGAGCAGGCTTAAGAGCAGCCCTAGCTTTTCTAGACTGTCCTGTAGAATAGACCTTCAACTTACATCTTCAATCCTTCACCTCTCTTCTCCTACTTCTTTCTGTTCGTACTAATGTCCCATAAATGCATGTGGCTAACTCAGAATTATCTGGGTCATTATCCTAGGGGTCTTTGAGTATCCCCTTGGGCCGTATTAAAGGTTACTTCTAGATCATGAGTGGTGGCTGTGCCTGTTGCCGTGGTCCGGCCTGACTACCATGTTATCATTGTTTTGGCATCACCTGGAAGATTGTTGACAACATCCTGGATCCTTCATTTTCATATACATTCACATAAGGATATTTGTCATTTGGATTGGTTGTAAATATGATGTATTTGTTTTGAAATACGACAGCTATGGTAACACTGTCCATCCCAGGAGAAGGATCCCTCCTCCGTTACTCTCCCAGAGATTTCTTCTAGTTATTCCCCCTTGATTGTGGGGTTTCTTTGGTGTGAGCAAGGGTCTCCAGACGGTGTGTATTACAGTATGGTGCAAAGCCTCCTGAGACAAATGTGTATTTTTTTTATAATAGGCTCTATAAAAAACATTTGATTGGTTGATTTCAAAGATAGCCTCTTTTGTATTGTATTAACTCAGCCTGCTGAAGCACACCGGAAAGGGATCTTTTAACAGCCAATGGGAACAGAAGGAATGACTAGAAGCACAATCTGTTTCTATGATCATGAGCACCTGACTATTGTTTCCAATCAGCCTTGATACATGTGAACCTATCCTTTAAGTTCACCTGTGGAGTGTTCTTTTGTAACAACACTGTTTGCAAATCCTTTAATCTATGCAAATTAGGGCTGTCAAGTTAACGCGTTAATAACGCAAAAAAAAATTAACGCCACTAATTATTTTAACGCGATTAACGCATGTGTATTTTTTGTCCTCGGCCGCCCCGTAGTTTCATAGCGCATCGAGTTTAAAATACCATCTACAAGCTGATGCTGACAGCCCCGCTCCTGCCGCCCGCTTGTGGCAGACCACACTTCCACGCTCACCGGCAGGCACCGACTGGCCATCTGGAGGACCGGGAGGGTGTGTGTATGTGTGGCCCGAGCGAGCGAGAGAGAGACCTTACGTGCATTGTTGTTGTTAGCATCTGGTGCTAGCTAGCTGCGCTAACGGATATGGAGCTGTTTAAATGAAAACAGAGGAGCGACATTTCGCCACAACTGCGCCGAGCACTTGACTTTATGCAGGAAGCCAGACAGTGGGACGTTGTACGAAAAGTCAGCACACTCAGAACGGATAGTGCGCAACATGATTGCAGAGTCCAGGCAGCTCCCGTTCGAGCATATGCCTTGAGTTGCACATAGCTCCATCCATCCATCCATCCACCCACCCACACACACACACACACACCCACACACACACACACACACACACACACAGGTTATTGTGTATAATATTCATGAGAATATTTATCATTGTTCAAATGATAATAAACATTAGCATAAAGCATATTTGTCCACTCATATGTTGATAAGAGTATTACAAACTTGAAAAATATTCCTCTAAGATACATTTAGAACAGATCAAAAATGTGCGATTAATTTGCGATTAATCGCGATTAACTATGGACAATCATGCGATTAATCGCGATTAAATATTTTAATCGACTGACAGCCCTAATGCAAATATGTCAGCCAGCCGTGCATTGCTGCTAGCAAAGGAAAACATATGGGGGGAAGTTAAAAAAAAAGCCCACAGCTTGAGGAATTTGTTAGCTTTACTGAAGCTGATTACAGTGGACGTTTTGTATAGCGCTTCTGCAGCCAAGTAACTGCCAACATGTGCTCACTAATGAAAGAAAAAAAGATTTTAAAAACAAAACCCCGGGTCTCTGCTGTCAAAAACACATCTTTAGTCTCAGATGGAGGAAGTCGTTGTGAGAAAAGCCTACTACATATGCAAGACAACAGGGGAAATGTATTTGAATGAATTATGTTGGGGTAGAAATCTTTTTATCATAATATCAAATATTTCAATATGATTTGATAAACACACACTATAGGCGAACTAGTAGTTTCCTGTGAGATCTTAATGTAGGGCAGATCAGCTGGAGCATGACCCTGCTGAGGGTGAGGCTGTTAGGAGGGGCTCAGTCCCTGCTGAGGGTGTAACGGGGGGATGCTGCTGTTTGGCAGGACCACCGAGAAACAGCCTGATCCGTGACTGACAGCTCTCTGCCATCAATCAACCCCTGTGGAGACCAAGACCAGGGGCCCAGCTGGCTCTCCGGAGCCCTCAAGCTTCAGAGAGGAGCTTTAAATAGGAATAGCTGGACCTAACAAGACCAGTGAGTCCACCTCTGAACGCCTCTTCTACTGGCTGACACAGAACGGAGCTGGGGCTACAAGTGAAAATGTACTCCATCCAATAGAATGGAAAAACCTAGATGTCATTTATTCCATGTATATGGAGGAGAAAAAAGGGACAACCCCAAAAGTATAACCCAAAATATAAATTGTAACAATGGTCTGCATTTATAAAGTGCTTTTCCAGTCTTTGCGACCCCTCAAAGTGCCTTCCGATTGGAGGACTATACTGCCTGAGAAGCTGCCCCATCCATCACTAATAAGTAAAGCAATAATCACACATCTTGTGTCTTAATACTGTAATGATAACACACTAATGGCAGGTTTATAATAAGGAAGGAGGAGTGTGGTTATGTCTTAATGTGTTCCTGTGTACTTTAGTGATCTCTATGTTGGCCAGCTCAAGGCTGCAACACTGGGAGATATCTGCTTTCCTCTAAAGAATTAAAATCCACTGAATGTAACAGAGAAGACCACAAGCTTTTAAAAAAAACTAAATGTATTATAAAAATATATATAATGTTTTATAAAAATATATATAAGAAAATAAATCAAAATAATGAAAA